AGGCTTGTGATTGTTGGCATTGGAATGCTTCTGGTTTCCCCATTTCTTGTGATATTCATGCTGGTGTATCTCTTCTTGAGGCACGCCGAACAATTCTACAACCACCCAAGCACGGCGTCATCTCGAAGGTGGTCAACACTTGGCAAGTGGATTTTTAGAGAATATAACGAGGTATCCCTTTTTTCTGTCCATTTTCGTAAAGTTGTGACATATTCTTGTTTTTTAATTCGCATGACGTTTTACATTTACACTATGTTTGGTTCAAGGAATTTGAAAGGGAAAAGAAAAGAAAATGAAGTGGAAAACCATTTTTCTTGTTTGGTTAGAAGAGAAAAGAAAGGAAAAGTGGAAGGAAAAGAAAATGAGGAGGCAAAATGTAGCAAGTGGAGGGAAAATCAAATTCCTTCCATTTTGGTGAGGAAAATGAGAGAAAACCATTTTCTTTTCTTTTCCTTCCAAAATTCTTGAGCCAAACATAGTGTTAGAGGCACTTTCCTTACATTTAGACGTTTTACTCTCTCACTTACTGTTTGTGTTTTAAATCTTTTTGTTACAGGTTGACCACTTATTCAGGCACAGGATAAATAGCAGCATAGTACACGCATCTGATTATCTGAAGCAATTTCCATCTCCTATTTTATCACTGGTTGCAAAGTTCATCTCTTTCGTTTCTGGTGGCTTTGCTGCTGTTCTTATCATCATTGCTTTCTTCGATGAATCTCTGCTGGAAGGCCATGTATTATTCCCCCACTCCTCCTTTACTATATATGAACTATGAGTAACCTCTGTATCAGAATAAACTTCTAACTTTCCTTTTTGGGTTGTCCCATAGTAAAAGCACTGTATTTTGGACGTAAACTAATTTTAATACAGTACATATTTGTATCCAAATTAAAAGGGTATTTTCATCCGCTCATTAAGTTTAGATCCACTTTAGGACTGATTTTGTGCTCAACTATGCTATATGCTCCGTCACATAAAAATCTTTACTTTTTTCTTTCAAGAAAAACAATAAGTGGCTCAGAAAATTTTCACTTTCCAACAATTCTCTTAAACTTCTTTAAAGTGATACATAGAAGATTTATATGGGACTGAGGTAGTATATGCTATTTGGACATATTTAGTCCTATGAAAATACCCTTTTAAATTCAAGCAAAATATGTTTGAGGTCTAAATTTGGTCCATGCTGCACAGTTGTTGGCAAATCTAGTGCAAAGGAAGTTAGGGACCAGACTGAGTAATATTTTATAGCCGAAGGGTTAAAATAGACATTTACTCACCATTGGGTAGTTCGCTTATGGTGAAATCTGTCTTGAACCTAACAGATTTTTGGACGAAACTTGCTATGGTACGGTGCTGTTTTTGGAGCGATTACAGCCATAAGCAGGGCCGCAGTGGCAGATGAAGTTCTTGTTCTTAATCCACACGAGTCAATGTCACTCGTAGTCCAACATACACATTACATGCCCAAGAGATGGAGGGGAAAAGAAAACACTGAGAGTGTCCGGTTGGAGTTTGAAACTCTATTTCAGGTTCGTATTGCTACTTTATTAAAAAAAATACTTCCTTTTGATTCGGGAAATATGCTATAGTAACACCACCGGTGACACCAAAGTTGACACCACAAGTTCCCTAGTTGGTAGATAAGTCGAACTCGACACTCGACATTTGTTTTTGCACAATTTTTTAAAATGGATTTTAATAATTTATTATAGATTTATTATGCTCTTAGGTAACTTAAGAATTGAGTTGTTGAAATTGGTGTCATTTTACTATTATTAAATGTTAATTCTATATGCAGTACACTGGCATGATGTTGCTGGAAGAAATGGCTTCAATCTTTCTTACACCATACCTACTTCTATTCGTTGTTCCAAAGGTTGTTATTATTGTTATTATTATTATTATTATTATTATTATTATTTGTGTAAAATTAAGTTATGAGACAAACCTTAAGAAATATTGGATGATGGTTCCCTTTGATGTTGCAGAGAGTGGACGACGTTCTGCAGTTCATTACAGATTTCACTGTAGATGTTGAAGGTGTTGGCCATGTATGCAGGTTATATTTATTCCCTATATTGCTCAGTTCATATTCCTTATTTATTACCATCAATATATTTATTCTTTTTATTTTATTTAATATAATTTTGTTTCATTTTTTTTGGATTTTGCAGCTTTAGTGTCTTTGACTTCAGAAACCATGGGAATACCAAATATGGTTCACCTTTCAATGCACCACGCACCCGAAGGAGTTCCCAGGGAAAACTGGAAAAGTCGTTCTTGAGGTTCAGACTCAACATTCTAACTCTATTAAATCATCTTTTTTTTCGCTTAGTTGCAGTTTTACATTGGTATTAATTCTCTCTAAATGTTTATTATTACTATAATTATGCAGTTTTCGTATCAGCTACCCGTCCTTGGAACCCAATGTGGAAGGGAAGCAATTCCTTTCAACATTGAAAGCCTTCAAAGAGAAGAAATGGTATGGGCATGGGATGAGACCAGAAGCTTTTCAACATATGAACTTTCACCCGCCATGGGTTCTCGACTTCAGAAGTGATGATGATGACTTGGGAGATGGCCATCCGTACATTCTTGACTGCTACTACACGTCCCACGCGACATGCTGCCCGAGAGAGTCTCGGGCTGACCGCTTTGACGGCGTGGGACCCGATCACGACCCGACCCGACCCGTTTTTAGCAAGAGACGGTCATTTGAAGTTAGGTCGCAAAGTTATATGCATGCTTCGACTTCGGCTCCCCTCTTCCGGGAGAGCGTCTTTCGTCATCACTATGATCAAGATGGTGGTGGTGGTGACGCGGGTCCCACTTATGCGAGGCGGGACTGGTGGGCCCGAAGCGGGCAACCGCCGGTCCGGGACCCACAGACAAGCTTTCTTGAGCCTCCAGCTTTTGGTGGTGGTGGCGGTGGTGGTGGTGGAGGAGCTCAGGCGAGCTTTATTGAGGCTCACGACTACGGTGATAGTTTCTTGGAGAGGTGTGTAGAAGATGATGAACACAGAGATCATATGGGTTTGGGAAGGAGCTCGAATAGTTTGATGGCGAGAACGGTGTTCATGGATGAAAGTGTTGGAGAATTCAACCTTCCATTCGATGATATCTATGGGAGGCGTTCGGGCAGCCCGGGTTCTCATGAGAGCTCAGATGAAGCAGCAGCAGCAGAAGATCTTGTGTGATGGTGTTCTCTCATCTCTCTAATAGGTAGTGATGATGATATGCTATGTTCTTTGTTGTTGTTGTTGTACATAATAAACCCATTGAAGTTAGAGTAGGAATGGCCCGGGCCCACGGGCGGGGCGGGGTGGGGTAGGGGGAGGTTGAATCAGAGTGGGTGATGCTCCGGTCACGTCACGCGGATAACACCAAGTTTGACACCGTCGCTATCTGCGCGTGATTGTCTCTGATGGTGTCGATTTTGATGTCATCCACTGGGATTAGAGTACTGTGGTGTTTGCCAATTTGGATTTGCACAGTGATTTAGATGATCAGTACTCTCTCATCCTTTTGCAAATGTGTAAAATTTTCACATTTGTTGCTAGGCAAATTTGTTTTTTTTTTTTAAAAAAATAAACTTAAATACTCTTCGTACGTTTGGTCAGCGGGTGATATATGCGTTCTGAAACTACTCCCCCATCTCAATTTAAATTGCATGTTTTGACTTTTGGGCATATTTAAGGAAAATAAAAAATAAAGTTAATTTTCTGAAATTGTCATAAAAGTTTACGATAACAAGTAACAGGTAACTTATTTTGGGACGAAGAAAAAGGCAAACAAACTGCTATATACATGCTAATATGCTTTTGTCTTCTCCTTCCTCTAAGAGCCATTAAATTTATTCTGATTTCTTCAACCTTAGTCCCTTCAAATTTTCTTCTAGTAATAGTAGTTGTTGTAATGAATAAAGGCCAAATTCCATAGTACAATATTTCTCAAACCCAGGCCTCCATATTTTTTAGGTAGACATGCCTACTCCCAATTCACCAAAGGCCATTTGGAATAATACAATCAATACCTAAGGGACTTTTGGAATCTAAGAGACAACCCATATATAGGCGTATCCATTTACCTTTTATTGGTTTCTCAATATGGAGGAGTCATGGTTCTCTTGTAACGATTTTTTCAAAACCCTACTAAGATAAAAACAAAAGATTAGAATAGAAGAAAAACTGGAATTCCTAACAGCTATTCACACCTCCCCCTCCCCATCCTTGTAAACTTTCTTTGCCAGTTATGTTTAATCTCATCAATGATATTGCGAGTATGGCCCCTTCTAAGAGAAGTGTAGTCGGCCAACCACCTTATAACTTCACTCGCGTCTGTCTCAACCTCAAGTTTCCTAACACCCTTTACACATATTATATCAAAAAATTTGTAACATCAATTTTTATTCATCCCTTAGTATAACATTAATTTAATATAAGTGTAAAGTTAATGTAAAGTTAACACAAAGTTAAAGTGTCAAGTCATTTTGGACACAGAAAAAGCATTTATGCAAAAACAAAAAAAAAAGGATGAAACCCATCCAGATGCTCCTCTCAAAATCCGTGATTGAGAGAATTAATTAGACTTTATTCATATATTGTTGGCATTTGAGCAACAAGCTATAAACTTAGATAGCATTCCGTTCAATTTATTTTTTCTGCTTATTCTTACTATAATCAGTTTAGAAATATATTTAATTATAACTACAATCAGATCAGATCAAACGAGATCAGATTAGATTTCCAAAAAATCAAATCGAATCAGATCAAGCGAACGGAACACAACCTTAGTTCCCAGGCACTACAGGACTCTGACTTATCAGAGCTTTTATGAAGCCATTCCCCACACTGGATAAATACAAATAATATACTCTGAATATAGCAATGGACAAGGTCAATACCTTTTTTTTCTCTTAAGAAAATTACCCTACAAATTGAAAAATCTTTAAAATTGCCCTTCTTACACTCTTACCCTACAAAAAAAAATTAGTTCCCATTTTACACTTGTGTTTCTTTGAAAGCCCAGAAATACATCTAACCCAGAGGAAATTTATTTTATACAGAACTTTTCATCTTACAATTCAATATGCATGGTTCGTATATGAGCTTTGATTACACTTTTTACCAATGCTTAGACAACTAATAAAGTATAGTTACTAAAACACTTAAGAAAAGAGCACAGGAGAAGTGAAAGATGTACTGTAATATGGCCACCCTCCGAGGCCCTGCGCAAGAAGTCGGTTAGGCGTTGAGAGACCAATCAAAATTGTGGTGAACAATGTTGATCGGGCCATTGTCGCTGAGGAGGTGTGTGAGGAGACCCGCCTTTGTCGAGTCCAAGTAACTTTGCATCCATTTCAAGATTTGCTTTTGCTGCACGAAATCCGCGCTGTACCTACACGAGAAGCTTATGTTCAAACATACACACATGCACAAAAAACACAAAGCTTTATATATGTTCATTTTTTTTTGTCACAAACCAATGTCAAACAAATTGTGGGTTTGGGCAAAAGTTGATTATAATGCTAAAAGCCAATGCATGATGGGTTCTATTAATAAGATGGAAAGGTTAAAATGATATTTGAGATTTTGGGAGGAAGGCTTACCACTTGATTGTCCGGTTAAGGTAGACAATCCTCTTGCTCAGGTCAACCTGCATCGCGTCGTCCCTCTGGAAAAACTCCCTTGTCGCGCTTCTCAGTTCGGATTCCACACTCTGAGGGGTGAAGAACTTTGCAGCTGGGCTTGATCTTGTGGCATTGCAGAGCCCGAAATGGATCAACGGATTCACTTTTGGGAATGCCATCTGTAAACGTTTATCCCCATTAGAGAAAGGTTTAGTCAAAGCAAAAGGGGCTCTTTTGTTGCCTCTAAGAATGCCATCTTTTATTGCAGAGAGGGAGTATGGGTACCCCCCAACCAAGTACTGGAACTCGGCAAAGAAGGCCCTTCGGTCAATCATGCCCCCCGGATGCCCAATCCTTATCACCCCATGAATGGCCATGGCATTGTACAAGTTGAGAAAGAAAGCCAGCAACTCATTCCCTGAGAGTGTCTCCAGATTCACTCTCTGCATGTCATGGACCAAACTCAAGTACCTGCATTACAAAAACAAAACCAGACTCAAATGATTCGCCACGAAAACTTATAATTTTAATTACTACCTTCTGAATTCTTCGCTGTTGCTGATGCCCGTGTAATCAAGACGGCGCCTATCTTCAGAGGCATATGTCTCCAGTACTGCAGACATTATCTTAGAGAGCTTCAGACCCAATGCAGCAGAAGCTTGAGGCTCACTGTCATTTGTGGATCCTCTAAAGTTGTGGCATTTGGGAACGAAGGGTTCGTGTTCTAGGAACCGATAGAACTGCTGGTTCCCATCTTCAAACTCCTTTTCCCTGTCATCCATCATATAGTATATTGTGTGCCGTTGAGTTTTTTTGTTTTTTAAAGAACGGAGAAAGTTTCATTAGCTGTGTATATGTTATCAGTGAAGGAATGGCATGCTCTTACCCGAATACATGATGAATAAAATGACTTCTTGTTAACCGTTTCCCAATTTCAACTGCCTGCAGGAGAACATAATTGAGCTTTTGTTAAGTTTCTTTTGCTACAACTCAGCCCACAACCTTAAAGTGAGGTGTTCACAAAGAAACAAAAGGCTACCAAAAGTAAGTGAGTGTTTTTTTGTACTGTACTTATAAGCTGATCAAAAGTGTTTAGAAGTTGTTTTGAACTTATAAGTCAGTTCATGACGTGTTTCTCTATCTTTTTAAGTACAAAAGGTAGGTCTTACATACTCATTTTTAAGCCATTTTTTTTTCATTTTACCGTTTTAACCAGATTATTTACAAAACTATCTCTCGTCATTGATGAATATTTCCAAATGACTCATCTATCATTTAAGTCATTTTACTTGCACGAAAGTATATTTAACATATAAGCATCTTATAAGTTAAAAATTGTCCACTGCCCAAAACCTTAATTATATCAATGTTCTCTTGTCAAACGAATGGTAAGGTTAGCGTTGGAACACCCATACTTTTTTAGGATAGCACCGGTATAAACATACAAATATTCTGAAATCATCAGTGTAAATATATTGAATTTGTGAGTACTTTTGGAAAATTGCACAGTTCTAGGAGTAATTGTGTAAATTTTTCCAAAAAAAAACAGAGAAAAAGAGATAGAAATAAAAGCATTCACAATATTTATATTGCTTCTTAATTTCAAAACTTGAAGTAATGAACTACTACTAAGTATTGCACAAGACAAAAGTCCTTTTAATTGTGTTTTGCTACCAGAGCAAAAGAACATCAACAGTGATTGTTTATTTGCACGTAGCATTACGTACAGAGGCCATAACTCATAAAGTCATAATAAATCTAAAGACAAAACACAACTGTAAGAGTCCCAACCCCCAACACATGAATTGCTCATAATACTCCCTTCCTTCCAAAATAATATACACCATTTGACTTTTTTGTCAAACTATGTTACTTTGAATTTTTGAACAATACTCCTTCAATCTTGAAATATTCTTCACATTTGACTTTTCACGGTCTCCAATGTTGCACTTTAACCATTAATATCTATATTTATGTATAAATATATTTTTTAAAAATTTGATATTTCAAAACTGTGTTTCAATAGAAATATATTGATATTCTATTATTATCATACAATGTATTTTTTCCACATGTCAGAATCATAGTTTATAAACTTTGACTAAGAAAAGTCAAATGATAAGATCATTCCCTATAGCTTTAAATAATTTAATGTTATAAAATATTGATATATATTCATATTATAATTAAATACTACCTTCGTCTCTGGGTAGTTGTCCAATTTTGAATTTTGCAGTCAATCATTTTTGGGTTTTTGACTTATAATTAAACAAAATATATATTGTATATTAATTAAATAAAAAAATATTTTGAAAATACTCTATAAAAAATAAATCAAATAAAATAATTTTTGTATGAATTTCTAATATTATTTTTATTTAATTTAAGGTCAATTAGCTAAGTATGGGAGGGAGGTAGTATTTCTTACTTAAACAAAGGAGTTCATGGCTACCATTCCAACCAATTGGCTAAGTCAACTACGTACACCAAGTTTCTAAACCGCGTTTCGATTGTCATCGTCACTGCATAAATAAAACTTTACTCCGTAAAAACCACTATACATCAGTGGGCCCCAGAGAGGAAGTCTTTTTTGCAAATTTCCTGGTTGAAGGGGACTTTGGCACACCGGCATTATACATCCTTCCTTCCCAATTTGATTACAAATTACGGGTTACGGAAAAAAATTTCTTATATTTTGAAATCATTTTATTTATAAATTGGTATATTAATAAAATATAAAAACTACATATTAAAAAACTACGTCAAAAGTTGTACAAAACAAGAGGTGACAAGAATATTTTATTTTTTCAAATACTTAATGAAATCGTGTAAACAAACAAAAACTGTCAAGAGCAGAGAAAAAAATTGTAATCTATTTAATCGAGAGCAGAGAAAAGTTATCTCTTCTTTTCATTGACGGCTCGTGTCATGATATGATATTGGCTCTAATCGTGAATTTAAAATTAACAGTTCATATCTTATTTAACTCTCGATGAAAGCTCTTATTTTGGCTATACTCACCGACCACCCAACCTTCTTCAATTAGACTACCCAAGTTTTGTTACTTCTTGGTCAAGTTTTTTGACCCCAAAATCAACTAAACATGGGTGATCCAATTGAAGGAGATTAGATGGTCGGATCGAGTTGGACTAGGGTGCGAGGGTGTATCGAGAGTTAGAAATAAAAACTGTTAATTTTACGAACAAGATCTCTTGAGCCAATGTAAAAGAATGTTTTCCGTGAATCTTTCCTTCATAGCTCATTGATATTTATACCCGTATACAAGGAATAATCTTGACATACATTTAGGCAATAAACTAGGAAACTGATCCTATAAACAAGGTAACAATATATATACACTTTGACTAAGCTAATTATTTACATAATTATCTTAACACACCCCCGTAGTCAAAAGCAGGAGGGCCACGGATGCTGAGACTATCCTTAAACTCTGCAAACAATATACGTGGAAGCCCCTTAGTAAATATGTCCGCAATTTGATGTTGAGTAGGAATATGGAGAACCCGAACATCACCACGCGCAACTTTCTCCCTAACAAAGAGTATATCCATCTCGATGTGTTTGGTTCTTTGATGATGAACGGGATTACCTGAGAGATATATGGCGCTTACATTGTCACAATATACTAAAGTCGCTTTCCTTAGGGGACAATGTAATTCAAGTAACAAATTTCGAAGCCAGCAAGATTCGGATACCACATTTGCTACTCCACATAAGGGTCAAACTCAACAGTTACATTATTATCAGTGGTAAACTTACGAACTGAAATAAGATTTTTTATGAGTTTGGGAGCATGGAGTACATTGTTTAGGGATAAGGGAGGATTAGGGGAAGTGAGAGTAGTATGTCCACAACCATGAATTGGAATAGTATGACCATTACCAACAACAATAGCATTAGGATGATTGCTCAAATTAAAATAAGACGCGAGAGTACCGTTGGAGGATGTCATATGAGAAGTGGCGCCGGTGTCCATGTACCAGGAGGGGTCGGGTTGATGTAACCTCATAGTGTGCATAGCAGACTCAATGTCTGTTGGAGCGTACTGCATAGGCTGAGTGGAAGTTGCATAGACTTGTGGACGAGGACCTAATAAACCAGGCTGCTTAGGTGGGCCTAGAGGTCGTGCCCAGCCCTGATTGGGGTATGGACATGGAGGAGTAGCCCATTGAGGCATCCATCCCCAACCCGGGTACTGTGCCCCCTGAGGCTGTTGCCAGGGTGCCGGAGGATTCTGCCACTGCTGCTGATGTGGTCCAGAGCTTCCACGGCCGCCACCCTTCCCACCGAACCGTCCACCCCTGCCACCAGATTGCTTTCGGGTCACAGAATTTTTCGGCTTTGTGCGGCCACGTGAACCCCCAGTATTATCAGGACCATCCTCAGAATTGTCACGGGACTGAACCACCATGGCCGTCGCAGACCCTGTGGTGGCTTGCTTTGCGAGACCAGCCTCCTCTAGCGTAAGCATTGACCGAGCCTGAGAAAACAGTGGAAGGGGATTGCTCTGTCGAATAAGGGTAGCAACACCCTTGTATGCTTCGGTGAGACCAGAGATCAATTGAAGAACCAATCTATTATTATCCACCGGTGCAGCAACGCCTCTCAATTGATCGGAGAGACTCTTGAGGTGTTGGCAATAGGCCGAGACATTTGGAAAATCCTCCATCTTTGTGGTTGAAAATTCCTGTTCAAGAGTCAATGCACGAGAATTTTGATTATCCTGAAATAAATCCCGCAACCTACCCCATGCCTCCATAGCCGTAGCATCTGGTTCGATAATGGTGAGCAATAGATCGTTGGAGATGGTGGAATAAATCCACGAGAGTACAGCAGCATCCAGAGTAGACCAAGTGTCCTTTTCTTCATCAGTGGTAGGAAGCTTCGCCTTCTCCTTAGGCGGAGGGATAATATGGTCTAACACTTTGTGAGAACGAGCATGAATTTTGAATAATTCTGCCCATGTGGAGTACTGAGAGTTTTGCAATTCAAGAACAATAGGAATGTGGTTCTTGATATTGTTGACGGTAAGAGCAGGGTGGAACGAGGATTTTGATTCCCCCATAGCAATAACAGAGAAGAATAGAAGAAGAGAAAATGATAAGAAGCTAGGGTTCAGCGGAAGATAATCGCCCTAGGTTCTCTGATACCATAAAAGAATGTTTTCCGTGAATCTTTCCTTCATAGCTCATTGATATTTATACCCGTATACAAGGAATAATCTTGGCATACATTTAGGCAATAAACTAGGAAACTGATCCTATAAACAAGGTAACAATATATATACACTTTGACTAAGCTAATTATTTACATAATTATCTTAACACAATGTCATATTAGTAAATTTGGCCCTGGAGTCAACAGAAGTAAACTCTTAAAAAAACAGCCTTATCATTTACGCTCCATTTGAAGACAACTACTTCATATCAATAAAGTTTTGACATTATTTTTTAATAAGAGTTGAATATTTTATTTTGAGACAAATGAAGTACGATGTGAAATTAAGCTTTGGTGTATAATTCCCTAAATAAAGCTTTTATGTATAACAAATTAGGGGTGGACCTCCCCAAATAGATTGATGCATTGAATATTACGGAGTATTTAAATATGGCTTAAGTTTTCTTTATGTGGATATGGCTTAAGTTAGTGATTCATCATTCTAAATTTGTAATTATTAAATTTAGGTGCTAAGATTTTGTGGTACGTTTCCTTGTTTTACTCTTCGTAATATCTTTTGTGTGTGGACCTAACAAATTTTATCTTTCATTTTTTCTTTAAAAAAATATCAATGTTTTTAAAGTTAAAAAACCAATTTTAAAAAAGTCTACCTATTTAATTTCACATTTCTTTTCATAAAATGTTATTTAATGGAACTTGATAGAGTTTGATGGAATAATCACCTTCAAAAGTGTGATTACTTAAACGTGAGTGAGTAAAGGTGTAAATTATTTTTAAAAAAGATGTGATTACTTTATTCCATCACATCAAGGGTAGCACATGGAAAGTCTTTACATTTTTTATTTTGTTTTAATCTCAATGTCAAATTAAACGGGAAAAAAAATTTAGATGGAGGGAGTATTTGTTAATAGAGTTTTTGCTCTTTATATTTCAACATTTTTACAGCCTCCGTTCCAAAAATATTACTCCGTACCATATTATTTATCGATTCTAGTGTTTCAATTATATTAATCTCTCCACAATCCTGTCGAGTCAGGTTGTAGGGGCACCCAGATCGGACGTTCCACTTTTTTTTCAATTGCATTAACGTTTGCTTCATTTATACGGAGTAAATTATTGGAGCAACTTGTCCAAATGTAAAAGAGGTGGAAAATACGTTGCACCTAATTGGAATTCCAATTCAATTTGGAAATCATGCCGTCTTTGAATGACTGAATTTCACGGATAACATTATGGTTTACCTGGTCTTAGTCAGCCTAAATAGAGTGTTTCTATGATGAATCAATAATTCACATGTAAAATTTGCCCTAAATAGGACTAAAACATAATGACTTTCTCAATGTAGGACTTAAACTTTTTTATTCCCTAAATAGGACTTAATAATGACCTAGTGGAGAAATAATGTCCAGAAATGATGGACATTTACTTGAATAATAACTACTCCGTACTTGATAATGACCAAAAGTCCTACATTGGGAAATAAAAACATATGGTCCTATATTGGGAAAGTCATTATGTTTTAGTCTTATTTAGATAAATTTCTCGGTGAACTTTAGATTTACAAAATTTTGTAGTCTTTTTCATAAAATTTTTATTTTATATTAAAAAATAAAATTTATCATCTCAGTAATAAGCATTGGTTTAGCTTGCTTACTTATAGTTGCACTGTGAATCCTTATCGTCAACGAGTTGTATTGTTATGGTCCTAAGATCTACATATAAAATATGTACATTTTCACATATTTTTCAGTACTTTATAATCAAAATTTTTTTACAAGACTCATTACAGATAATCATTTAATATATTAAAGTCCGGGAAATGAACATGAACCTAAGAATCACAAAAGAATTTACTTTCTCAAAATATATTATGGATGCGTTCTCTTTGGGAGTAAGATTTCCTTGAGGCGAAGGCTTTTTGTTGTTGATATGTTTGCGATGTTAAAAGTAGGAACAAGGATCCAATAGTAAAACGAAAATTTAGGAATAAAATATAATGAGTAAAAAATATACCCCAAAATAAATACAATTTGACTACGGAGCATCAATTAAATACAATTTACATTATATGTTAATGCAAAAATATTTTTATTTCGTTTTAAAGAATATTTTCAGAATGCTGTTATTCTAATAAAATATACTATTTAATTTTTATTTAATTATAAGTCGAGCATCAATTTTGGTTGACTGTAAAAAGTCAAAACTAAATAAATACTTTGAAATAAAGAAAAGTACTAAATTTGAGAATGATAATAATGTAAACATATACTCCCTCCGTCCCTGAAAACCTTTCTCCTTTCTTTTTTCATCCGTCCCAAAAAACACTTCTCATTTCTATTAAAAAGTCACTTTTACCCCTTACTTTTTCATACCCTACCTACCTTTTTACTAATAATTTATCCATCAAATCATACTTTACCCATCACATCAAAGGACATTTTTGGAAATTCTATACCAAAATACACTCCCCTTAAATCCTCTTCAAAATCAAAACTTCCATGTTTTCCGGGACGGAGGGAGTAGTATAAAAACATTGTAAAATGTCGATATACAGTTTCAAATCATCACAGCATATACCTCTATTTTAGAGATAAAAATATAAAATTCTTATTTTGAGAGTAAGAATTCTATTTCACTTTCCTTTTAGATGAGTTTTTTAATAAGTATATTTTGACATCAATACAATTGGTATCAAATCTCGACAATAATTTTGTTTTGATACAATGTCATGATTTCTACCCCTTAATCCTCTTAAATCACCATCATCTAAACATCATAAAATTGATGTTATGTTTACTACAACTTTTTTTAGATGTTAGAGAGAAAATGAAAAGAAGGAAAATGAAGAAAAAAATGTGAAACAAAAATTGATGATGCTCCTTTATTGGTTCATTTCATTTTCTTCAAGGGAAAGTTTTTGTGTACACTTTACCACGTTTTTTCTACTCCGTAGTATATATCTTCTTCTTTTTTCACTATACAAACAAGAAAAAATGCTCTAAATCCTCTTCCTCCGGTATTTTTCTTTCTATTTTTTCTTCAAACAAATACACTACGAAAAGGAGGAAGACCTTATTATATTACGGAGCATAAATTTATGTATTTAAAATAAAATAAAAAACTTTTAAAATAAAAAGTTACTTGATTATATTATTTTAACAAATGATTCTACATAAGTAAAAAAGACTATTTATGTCATTCTCTACTAACAAATCAAATTAGTTATAAAAAACAAACAAATGAACTTATAATATTCTTTGATACTCATCCTGTCACAAAAAAATATTATGCAGTTTGGCTTTTTTATCAAATTCTTACACACTTTTACTATTAATAATAAATACTTTTCTATTCTGAAATGAATTACACTTTAGGCAAAACGAATTAAAATCTCACATTTTTACAATTCATTTTATTGTAAGACCGGTATATAAATATAAAATAAAACTTGCAAATTTAAAAAGGTAAAAAAAAATTTTACAAAAGAAGATATGACAAAAAATTGAAATTTCATTAAATAAACAATGAAAATATATAAATAAACAAAATTTGTCTTGATTTTTTGAATAGTGAGGCCCTGTTATTTAGGGTTTGAAAAATTAACTTCTAATTTTTTCCAACTCTTTCTCGTTTTTTCCAATAACAACTTAAATAGATATTTAAATATGATGAACATACTGTACCATTATATATCTAAATTTATAACATATCACCTCAAAACATAGAAGGGTGAATTTTTTTTATCCAAATGGAGTTTCCTTGAATATTTATTTGGATAATCATTTAATTGAATGAATTTTTAAGAGTTTAATTTTTCTAACATTTTCCAAGTCCAAAGGGTTTCTTCTCACATCCAAATCTAAAATTCCAACCTAAAAGAACATGGCCTAAAGAGTGCTAATTATTGTGGGACGAAGGGAGTACAATTTTAAATAAATAAATGTCATAAGATTTTATTTTGTAAAAATTATATCTTAAAACAAACATAATCACTGCATACTTACATTGTGTTCTCTAATCAAATATAATTTTTCTACAACTTATAGTTAAAGTGTGTAACAATTTGAAACAAGTGAAGGGATGAAAGTAATGGCTTGTTCTTTTCACTTGATATAAATGATTCAGATCTGGTCTAATCTAAACGAATTCTAATAAGAAAAAGTTGAAAAAAATATACTCTATATAGAGTTGTGTTATTAAGAGTCATACAGCCTATATGTATAATATGAATTTTCTTACATTTTTTATGTGCTCAAAAATATTTTTTTACAAAGTTCAATACAAAATAATAATAAAATTATTTTATATACCGAGTATTGAGTACTTAAAATGAATCTAGAATCACAAAACAATTTGCCTAAGAAAGCGTACCTTACGGCGGCCGCAGTCGAGGTGGTGTATCAAAACCTCCACGAGTTCCCCACCGGCGAAGCAGTTTTTCACTAACTTCATCCTCATTATCCGGTCCTGGATCGGAAGCTTTGCCCTAACCAGTTTCATAATCTCCGCCATCTCGTCCCTCCGCTCCTCCTTTTCCCCGAACCCATACACCGGCGGCGCCGGCGCGTCGTCCGGACACTTGGTGGACAACATTTCTCCCAGTTTCTTCTCCAGCATTCCGCTGTTCCGCAGAGAGTTCAAAGCCACGAGTCCCCCCAGCAACTTCTCGTTGAGGAAAATCTGCGGCACGGTTGAATTGCCTGTTCGCCGCACCAATTCATTCTCCCTCTCCGGGAACACGTCGACGTTGATTTCAACGAAATTGAGCCGTCTCTCGCGGAGGAACGACCGGACCGCCGTGCAGTCTCGGCAATTGGATCGCGAGAAAAAGGTCACCCTACCGAGCAACGGCGCACCCTGTTCCTCCGGCTTCAATTCAACGATCACTTTCGGGCCGGATAGGTTGAACTCCGTCACGCGATCATCGGACTTCGCCTTCTCCAGATCCGGCGATTCCATCAGAGACGATATCCGCTTAGTGATAGCTGCCGATAAGCTGGTGCTCTTCTCCCGGAAGAATTTCCCGATCGCCGGCACATCGAAGCTTTCTGGCATCGACTTAGAGCGTCGCAGATCCAGAGGCGACACGGGCGCAGACACTCCCGGCGGCGCCTCCGGCCGCGGCAGCTGCGAATGCGGTCTGATCATCTTCAGAACCAATCCGTCGTCTGAACAAACCCTGCCACAATCATCACTCACCGAATTCTCATTTCCATCATCCCCGTCCTCCAGGTCACCAACGGAATCTGCGATTTCTCCGCGATCAGTTGCGGACTCCTCGGCAATCTGGCCGATTTCAACCCCGTCTTCTCCGCCTGCCGGGGCCGCGGCGTCAACACCGGCCGGAAATTCGTCTCTGATTGGCTCAATCTTCGACTTGGCGATAAAACAGTCGCCCGGAGAAATGGATTCTGCTCCCATCTGCAAACTTTCTGTTGGAGCCATTGTAGACTGAGAAATTGGGAGACAGATTGGGAGGGAGGGGCGCGGTTATGTTGGAGGGAGTGGTGGAATGGGGAGGTTTATATATATGGAAAAATATTGTTTGCAATTAAAGAAAATTAAAAATTACGCGTAATAGTTTCAGGCAGTATTGTGGAAGTCTAGCTAGACCTGGCGCATACCCGAATGGGTCAAAATGTCAAAACGCAGCTCTAAATCTTAATCCGTTTGGCAAATGGCAATGATGTCCCATTTAATTTTAGGATTTTGAAAAATAAAATCACTCAAAATAATAATAAAATGTTAAAAAGTTATTGAAATATAAATTCTATGTTTTTAATTCAAAACACGGGATCGCGAGCTACAACAATGTAACACTATATATTACTCCATCTGTCTGTCATATATCTTTCTGAATACTATGCACAAGGTCAAATTTAACGTATTATGTTTGCTTATTTTTATTACTTATTCCATAAAATAATACCTGAATATAGTCTTGTTACCTCTGATTTTGTAGAACTTTAATATAGTAAAATTTTACTTCTATAATCAAACAAATTGATTTGAAAATAAAGTCGGTCAAAGCTCGTAAAGCATAATGAGAAGATCTTACATGGACAGAGGAAGTAATATTCTATAGTAATTTTTTTGTTATATATTCATATTGTAATTCTTATTTTGGGAATCAAATTATGGAGATCATATCTTGATATTTTCTTTATGTTTCATTTCTAGTTTAGGGCCTGTTTGGTAATAGCGTTAACATTTTAAATAAATTTTTAACATTGTAGATTAAGTTTGAAAATGTTTGTACTAAATGCTGCCCGTAGATAACCATTTGAAAACGCTAATGCTAACCTCTAACACTATTACCAAACATGTTCTTACTTTTTTTTCGTATTTACACCATCGGAGTTAATTTAGTGATACAAAATCAGAGTCATCCGATAACTTGGTCCATTTATACACACGTTAATTTTTCTCAGAGAATGTCCTTCATACTCTTGATTCTTGAAGAGAACACAAATCTAAGTGGTCCACTAAACGTCCAACACAAACGTATCCAAACACATTTGAATTTTATTGGCCCAAAATTTATTCCAATCCAATATTAATCTGACCTTATTATCAAGTCTATGCAGGAAAATTGACTGAGTATAGATTGAGTCAATTGACAGATAAAGAAGTCCATACTTTTTGGGTGCTATAAATTTTATTATAATGTACTCCATAGTATTTATTTATAATACGATCTTGGATTCCTATATCAAATGAACCAAATAAGTGACCATTCTAATTTGCAAGGGCATTTATGCGGTTTTCCCTTTGGCACCCAATTGTGCTTTATGTTCTAGTCCAGTAGTATATGATCAAATGGCTAATTTAATTGTGTAGGAACCATTCTTGATGTACTGTAATATACTACTCCTTCCGTTCAAATTTTTTTTCCCGGTTTGACTTGACATAGAGATTAAGAAAAATTAAAAAAAAAGTAAGGATTTTACATGTTTTGCTCTTAATGTGGTGGAAGAAAGTGAATTATGTAGAGAAAAATTAGAGATATAATGTTACATTCATTAGAAAAAGTTGTCAAAATAGGAAATGAGAGAGAATTTTGGACGAATAAGAAATGAGAAAAAATTTTGAACAACCCAAAAAAAGAGAAAGAAAAGCATGGAGTACTTTTAAGAGATCTCATTTCCAATAAAGCTACGGCAAGAAAACCAAATCCTTGAATTCTTTTTTGTGCTTAAATTCTTTAATTTGGGCCACTTTCAGTGACTTACTTTTTGGGCCTTGATTTTGTAATTGGGTTTTATCTCGATTTACTTCGTTCGAATTAATACATCTTGGTGCCGGAAACCAACATCGACTTCGTGGGAATTAGAGTTGGCTTCGTGGATTGGGCTAAATGGCTTCATGGATTGGGCTAAATGGTCTGGGTTTAAAACTGGGCTATCACCATGAAGTTAATGGACTTCCAATGACACGTGGCTTACAAGCCCTATGATCAGTGTGGTGGCAAGTGGAATGGTGAATGACTCTAAGTTTGAACCACTAGTATAGCCATTCGAAAAACTTGTTCCGCAAGTATACATCGGAAGCTTGTGGTTGTTATTTTCTTCGTGAAAATGGTGATTCTTAATTTCGATCTAATGGACTTTTTCGCGTTTTGATTGAAAATCTTTTGTATTCAACTTCGCGAGTCAAATTTTTCCAATTTGAGGCCTAAAATAGTTCTCATTGAGTGTATCGATAAGACGAGCATCTTTTCCTTTTGTGACAAATTCAAATTGTTGACCGTTCAAGCTCTATGAATTAATTAATGAATTTAATCATTAATATAGGCATACATACTTTTGTGATCCAAGATACCATGTGTGATGTTTCATCAATCGCCCATTTGTTCTCCACAGTCAGCCGCAGACGATCTTTTAAAAAACGTATCGTATCCGATAAGTTTTATCTGTTCATCGGTTACTATTATGCTCTTTGACATTTTTGGAAATTTTTAAATGGATGTCAAATAAATGAGGCGAGGCAGGTGAGCTATATATTACTTTTCCTTTTATATACCTGTTTGAAATTAGAGCATTAACGTCATAACTTGCTACCATAACACAACATTAACTCAAATATAAATTTTTGCCATCTACATTTACATCCTTCCATTTATACCCACAATAACTCCCATACAAAGAAAACAAAATAAAGATGGCTGGAAGTGGTAAGAAGGGCAAAAAATCCCCTGAGATAGCCAAATATTGGAGGCAACAAAATGCAATTGTGAAGAGAGCAAAAGAGATATGCACTCTTTGTGCCTCGCAGTTTGCCATCATAATTTTCTCAATCGGGGGCCCGATGTTCACGTTTGGCGACGAATCTCTCATTGATCTCTTTGAAGAACACGACGATGGAGTCGTGCCTCATGGATGCACATTCAAATGTACCATCCACAAAAGCCCTAAAATTTTCAAGCTCCAATCATGGAATAAGAAAAACAACACTAAGTCCTCATTGCCAATAGTACAATTACCCTCCAATGAAGAAAATAGAGGCCAAAACTTTGATGGGTTTTTGGAGAAACTCAACTTGGCTCAACTCCAACAGTTGGGAGAGAAGATGGATGGCTTTAGAGAGCAATTGGGTGATTTATTAGCTGCTAATCAAAGTAGAGCAAAATGATTCCCAATTTGGCATTTGGATATATATTGATGACTCAATGTTGTGGGCAAAGACTATTTCTAATTATGGTCTTGAGGTTCCTTTAAAAGATCAATTATTATAATTGATCTCATTTAAATTTGAGTTATATCTCCAATTTTTATTATTTCCTATTTTGATGGTCGTAAAGATCGTTTTATAATTTTGTTTTTTAAAATAATGTTAGAATCTTTGTTGGTTCAAGTGATGAGAGTGAGAGATCAATCTCACTATTATATAAGTGTGTGTTTAGTATGCATTTAGTATTTGTCTTCTGAAATAAATGATCTAATAATCGTAATTGCCCTTAACATTTTATATACATAAGATTTCGGCCTTGTTTGGATGTTAGCGGTTAGCTGTTGGTAGTTGGCTGTGTGTGTTGGCTGTTTTGAATGGCTGATTGAGTTAGCTGTTTTGACCAGCGGATTGTATTGGCTGTTAGGAAAAAATTGTTTGGTAAATTTAGTTGTTCATAAACAGCTGTTTGCAATGAAAATTACATATTTAGACATGTCTCCAAATATGTTGCTTAATTTTTCTTAAGGATGTGTTAATTACTTCCTTCGTCCAGAAATATTTTTCCCATTTGACTTTTTTTGGTCAAAGTTTGTAAACTTTGACTATGATATGTGGAAAAAAGCCAATGTATTAAGATATAACTTTAATATGAATATATTCATTTTGAAATATAGTTTTTAAATATCAAATTTTTTATAAAAGATATCCATGTATAAATAAAGATATTAGTGGTCAAAGTGTAATCTTGGATACTGTAAAAAGTCAAATGAGAAGAACATTTCCGGACAGAGGGAGTAATTTATTGTTTTGAATCGTTTAAATTTTTAAATTTTGATAACAATAACAACCTAGTAGGATCCCAGGAATGTAGGATCAAGGAAGGGTGTTGTACGCCGTTCTTACCCATACTCAGAAGTAGAGAGGATGTTTCTTAAATATAAAAACACATAATTTTTTTTGAAAGTTATNATGATGCTAAAAAAAGAGTAGTGTACTATAAAAATTATTGAAATGAAGAAACATGTCTATGATAAGAAAAAGAAAGAAAAAAAATGCTTTGATAAAAAAAAATGGCGATGATGGGGGCATCTCTTTTTTGGGAACGGCTCAAGAAGGGCAAAAAATTAAATATATGCAATCAGCCAATTAGAAATGCTACTCATGTTGGCAGTTCAAATTTCAGCAGTTCGTGGCCAACAGCTAATTGCAAAAGCCAGTGTCCAAACAATTTTTTTGGCAGATTAAAAAGTCAAAAAAGCCATTCATGGTCAAAACATCCAAATGCTACCTCAACAGCCATTTACCAAACATGGCCTTCATCTCAAAACATTTATTCAAGCTTAGATTGTTAATTATAATCATTATACCAAAAGATGCAAATCCTTGTCTCTATAACAATGAAAGTCCTTCGTAATTATGCTATTTAAATTAACGATAAAAAAAGATGGAACTTCAAGTTTTGCAGGTGTCACTTTTATTCACACAGACATGCACATAGCATGTTACAACACAGACACGGTATACATAGGTTAGATCATCGGCAAAGTGTAGGATTACCGATTCTTTATGTTGGAGGTGAATGGAAAATAATTTCTTACAACACTCATACATTACGGAATATACTAAATTTAATCACTAAATTAAAAGTCTCATTTCATGCAATAACTTACGCGTTTCTATTGTCATACGCCCGTGATGTTTTGATGGTGCAATAAAACATTTGTTTTGTACATTTATCTTAGAGTATCCATCTATTGTACATCAATGCAAAAGTTATTATATACTCCGTACTCTGCGATTGTATTATTTTTTCAAACAATTAATGAAAATAGGTTTTAAAAAAGATATATGGTAATTGATCTTATAAATCGTGCGAGTAAATATAAAGTTTTTTTATTGGGGATTTGGGGGTGTTAGTAATCAGGAGCAATAATATTCGGGCCGATTTGGGCTCGGCTTATGCCCATGGAAATGTTGACTTTATCCTTTATGGTTATTATACACGTAGAATATACGGAGTAGCCTGTTGGACGAAGTCCGGAACCAGCTGTATTAATACTATACTCCGTATATACTGGAGTATTCCGGGCCAATATATTTTTTATCAGTTTTATTTTTTTTGAGTTAAATTGGATGAATTATGAGTTTAATTAAACAAAATTAAATATACATTAATATAAAAATGACTTCATTATATTTAGCTTTTTGAAAATTTTTAAAATTTGGTTTCATTCTATTGAAATGCAATACAAATTAAAAGTAATTGACGACTAAGATTTGTTGAATTTGACTTAAAAAGTCAAATTAAGCGAATACGCTCAATACGAGTATCCCCTTATTCCAAATTATTCCATTGACTTTCTCGAACTAAAATAAATTGACTTTAAAATAATGCGAAGGAAATTAAAATAATAATTTGAAATTTTTATTTAAAATATATGTGAAAAAGGTTTTTTATTCTTACACTAATATTAATCAAACTTCATTCAATCTCACATGTAAATGAGACCAAATCTTTTGGCCCTAAAAGATTACCATAGTACTCCGTATGAGTTTTTTGATCAAATTGTGACACACTTTGATCACGAATTAAATATAATTTAAAATAATTAAACACTATAAAATTTGATGTTTCAAAATTATATTTTAAGAAAAACATAATTTGACCAAATTTACATTATAACTAAGCATATTTTTTTCATAATCAATGATCAGAGAGTGTCACACTTTGATCAAAAAGTCAAAATATGTTAAGAAATTTAACTAGATAGGACTAAAACATAATGACTTTCTCAATATAAAACCATATGTTTTTATTTTCCAATGTAAGACTTTTGGTTATTATCAATTACGGAGTAGTTATTATTCAATTAAATGTCCATCATTACTGGACATTATTCCTACTACTAGACATTAATAAATCCTTTTTACGAAATAAAACAGTTTTAAGTACTACATTTAAAAATGAATGTTTAGTAGTGCAAATTTCAGAATTATGTTTTGTGAGGGTGAGTAGTATTTTTATATAGTACTGTACTTCTGATCTGGTAAAGTGAAGAACGAGTAGTAGTACCATACAGAGTAGTTGTTAATAACGCGGCGTCGCCGTCAACAACGACCACCACAGGTCAGCCGTTCACCGCCGCGCCATCCGCTCCCTCCTATGCTATAAATTCACCGTCAACTCCTCCTTTCTCAACCATCGCATTAAGCTTTATTCTTATACGGAGTATTATTTTTATTCTCTTCAACTATTCCCACTTCCATGGCGTATTATCACAATAATGTATGCATAATTGCAGCGGCATTCAAATTATGCATGCTTCTGCTCCTCTCATCCCCACGGCAATGCCAAGGGCAGCAGCTGTCTCCGGCATTCTATGACGGGACCTGCCCGAATGCGCCCGCCATCGTCCGCACGGCCGTGCGGCAGGCGGTGTCGCGGGAGCGCCGCATGGCGGCCTCCCTCATCCGCCTCCACTTCCACGACTGCTTCGTCCGCGGCTGCGACGCGTCGGTCCTCCTCGACGAGTCGCCGGCCGTGGAGAGCGAGAAGACCGCGCTCCCCAACCTGGGCTCGGCGCGGGGCTACGACGTGATCGAGGCCGCGAAGCGGGAGCTCGAGCGCGCGTGCCCCGGGGTCGTGTCGTGCGCGGACGCCCTCGCGCTGGCGGCGCGCGACGCGTCCGCCGCGGTGGGCGGCCCCTCGTGGGCCGTGAAGCTCGGGAGGAGGGACTCCGCGTCCGCCAACAGGACGGACGCGGAGGCCCAGCTCCCGAGCCCGTTCGACAACCTCGCGAAGCTCGTGTCGAGCTTCGCGAGCAAGGGGCTCAGCACCAGAGACCTGGTGGCCCTGTCTGGGGCACACTCTCTGGGCCAGGCTCAGTGCTTCCTTTTCCGGGATAGAATATACCAGAACGGCACGACGGACATCGACGCCGGGTTCGCGAGCACCCGGAGACGGCAATGCCCCACGGACACCGGGAACGGGAATCTGGCGCCGCTTGATCTGGTGACGCCAAACTCCCTTGACAACAACTACTACAAGAACCTCTTGAGCAAGAAAGGTCTGCTGGAATCAGATCAAGCCCTAGCCGAAGGCGGGGCCACGGCGGGCATTGTGTCGGAATACGCCAAGAGTCCCCGCGCTTTCCAAGCCGATTTCGCTTCTGCCATGATCAAGATGTCTGAGATTCAGCCTCTTACTGGTCAGAATGGGATCATTAGGAAGGTCTGCGGTTCCTTGAATTGATCAGCTGAGCTATGTGCTTCTTTTCAACTTTCAACTTTGTTGTATTATATATCATCATTCTTTTTACTTAGCTTCTTGATTATATTCATTGGTTCATACACTCAATTTGTAGAAAACAAAAAAAGTGTGCAGTAATTGTGATTCAATAATGTAATGTTTACAAATCTTATGGAACTATACTTACATTTGTGATTCAATGTAATTTTCAAGCAAGAAAATGGTTACACAGTTCGTAAACATTGATTGCAAAACGTCAAAACTGGACGCATTCGGACACGATTTGCTAAGCATTGAGAGGTTTGGTTCTTACCGTGTCGCAGCTAAAGTTATCTTGCAACCATTTCACCCGGGTCACCAGCCCGGAATCTCGGAAAGTGTTTAGAGCCGACACGTAAAGCCTCTCGTCCAACTCAATCTCGTCCCCCTTCATCTCCTGCAACAACTTGACCAACTCTTCGAGTTCGTTTGTCTTGGAGAAAACGCCGACCATTATCCCACCCAATGCCTGGTCAATCTTGCCGCCGTCGCGGCGGTTTCCAGCCTTAGTCTTGAAGTTGTGATAGTACTCGACGCATTTATCGTATTCCTTCGCCTTGCTATAGGCGCTTATGACGCTGGTGTAGCTAACTCGGTCGGGCGAAACTCCCCTCCTCTTCATCTCTTTCCATATCTTCTCCATCTGCCTCAGGTCCAAAGCTTTCCCATGGATGTCCAAGAGGGAGTTGTAAACCCAGACGTTGGGTTCGCAGCCTCTCTTCTTCATCCTGGCTAAGACCTTCATCGCGTCGCGGTGTCTTCTGGTTTTGCCGTACATGTTGATCATCGTGGCGTACGCCACGACGCAGTTGTTGAACCCCTTTTGCTCCATCTCCGCGAACGTGGCTTCCGCCTTGGAATGCGCTCCGATTCGGTTGTATATGTTTAGCACCGACGCGTACGTCACCTGGCCGGGCTCGCAGCCGAGCGACAGAAGCTCTTCGTAGACCTCCGCCGCTTCACGCGGCCCGCGTTGTCTTGAGAAAGCGTTGACGATTGTGCATGATATGCAGTCGGAGACGCGGGCTTTTACGCGTCTCATCAATGACACGACGCCGAGGGAGTTTTCCAGCATTCCCTCGGAGACGTACATCTGGACGAGTCTCATGTAGAGAGACTCGTCCGGCCTCAGGAGTCTCTTGCTCTCCGCCTCTCCCACAAGCTCCTCGGCCATCTTCACCTCTCCAGCTACGGCAAATGCCCTTATCAAGGAGGAGTAAAACATGGGGTCCTCAGGGACCCCCTTCCTTGTCGATTCCCTGAAATAGTTCAGGGAATCGAAAGGTCGTCCCATTTTACCCAGAGAGTCGCATAAAAGCAGATAAATCTTTGCATCACATTGCGAGGGCCCGGCCTCTCGTTCTTCGAATTCTTCGAAGATCGAAACAACCTTCTCGTGCTGGCCCATTTTCAGGTACGCCTCCATGACGGCGCAGTAACACCCGGGCTCAAGAACAACAAGACCATCACTTTTCATCCTTTGGAACAAATCAGCAGTTGTAGTATACATGTGCAGCTTATTATAACCTTTCATGGCGAATTCAAAGGCTCGCGAAGCAGTTTCTTGATCAAAAATCACAGTTTCAAGCAAACAATTCACAGTTTTGAACTTCCTAGCTTTAACACAGCTACTAATCATTGAACAGAATGTGGGACTATCAGGCAGCACATTGAATGCCCTGAAATCTCCAGCCAGTGAAGAAATTGAGCTCCAATTTTTCATTCCAATAAAGTACCTGGCTAGCAGAGTGAGGGTGGATTCTTGAGGTACAAACCCTGGGTTCTTCTTGGCTTTCTCATAGCACTCAAATCCACTTTCTGCAGTCTGGGGATTCTTCATCAATCTGCAGATCATGGAGTTCTGATCTGATACTGTGGGCTGGGAACTGGTGTTGTTATCAAGAACTGGGTTTGAGCTTGAGCAAGAAATGGTTGTGGTTGCAAAGGGGCTGAGATCTCTGGGGGAGCTGAGGAGGGGAAGAAAAAGGTTTATTTTTCGGCTGATTCCTCTGTTCTTCGTGGTTTTGCCGGCGGCGACCCACGCCGGAGTCCAGTCCGGGGAACCGGAAAGTGCCATGAAAGGCGATGTTTTAGCTTTGAGTTTCAAAAAAATTTGGAGAGATTTTCATAAAATTTTAAAAAAAAGAATTTTGAGAGATATGTGTAGTGTAATCTTATCTGGTTTGGATTGTGAGGCATTGCCTATCTCACAAAGTTTTGGCCTTTGTGGGCCATTGAGTTATCGTCTTCTCATTGCTAGTCGTAGCTAACATGTTACGGAGTATTCACTACTCTCTCCCTTTTTTGAAAACTATTCTCTTTCATTTTTTTGAACAAAATATTTCTCTTTTATTAAATAACCAATTTTATCTTTATTTTTTTATCCTAACTATCATATCATATTCTTTCTCTAATAATCTATCTATCACATCTTACTTTTATTTATCACATTAAATGTAAAATTGGAATTCAATTATAATTTAATACGAATACTTCCTTAATTTAGCCTTTGGACTAGAGAAGAAGGATTTTCGCAAATGGAGGGAGTATTATAATTGAGAAACTTGATTAAAATAAATATTTTTCGTCCCTACATGAAATTTTCACTCTCTTAGTTATCCAGAAATAAATTTTTAATTTTTTTAAAAATAAAACGAATAAATAGTTCTCTCTCTTCCCTGTGAGAGAGAGAGAGTGTGTGAGTTTTAGTTTGTTTTAAATTATGTGGGAAAAATATTAGAAACTCTAAAATATACGAACCAAAGAGTGTTATTGTTTGGCTTTTCCTAATTTTACATAGTACTCCATAATTGTTTCTTTCATTTTCGGTGAGTATATTTCAAACCCTCGGGAAGAATAAATTTTTCATTTTTTCTTTTTGAATTGTTTCAAAATAAACTTATCATTCTAGAACATTCACACTCACATTATTTCTCTCTTTCTTCCCAGATCAATTTAACATTTTCTTAAACCACATCAATACTTTGCATGAAGTATGGTTGGGCCAAAACAGCAGCTTTTGAGGCTTTGAGCACTTGAATTAAGAGGACAATCAAAGTCAACATACAAAAATAGTATTAATTGTGACAAAACTCAAAGTACACTATGAAGTGACAAACAAATGTTCAATTTGTGCTTATAAAACTTTCAAAAACCTGATCTTCAAGGACATGTCTGGTTCATCAACTACCAATACAAGATTTATTCTTCTTACCATGAAACCATCATCATTGATTCGTTTTACTCGTCTGTTCCAATCATCCTCAAGCGCGACAATGGCGTCCTCAAGTACCCTTCCACCTCAAATTTCTTGGGGGAAAGCTCGCGGTACTTCTTGAACTGCTCTACGGCCTCCTCATTCCTGCCAAGGAGACTGTAAATCATCCCTTTGCAAAAATATGGCCTGAAATCTTTGGGGTCTTCTTGCGCGAGTTCTTCGTAGCTCATCAGAGCCTCTTCAACCTTCTTGTGCAAGAACATCATTTGTGCCATGATGAATCTAACATCCCTGGCTTCCTTGCTCTTGCCTTCCTCCATGGCAACCTGCAATGCTTCTTCCAATCTATGGATCACATTGTCCTTCTCTCCACATTTATCCATTAGTAATGCGTTCTCAAACAATGCTTCGAACCAGAGGGGGTTTTTGGACAAAATTTCCTCGAAAATGGATCTGGATTCTTGGATTTTACCCATTTCGTTGTACAGTCTGGCCTTCAATAGTTTCCACTCGCGGTTCTCGGGCTGGGCCTCGGCCAATTTGTCCAGCAATTTCAGGCCATCTTCGTCCTCGCCGGCCTCGAGTTTCTGCTGGAGAAGCTTGCTCAAGGCTTCAATGGACTCTTCGCTGGACTCCGAGGATTCCGTAGTCGGCGAATCTGCTTTCTCCGCCTCCGATTCCGAAACCGTCGCTTCTGGCTGCTCTTCCGCGACGGTTAGGGTTTGCGCTTCCGCCCTGGCAATCGGCGCCTGCGGGAATTTCCCGAGGGTCACGGCGGCGAAAATCAACGCGACGCCGGCGGATTTGAAGGTGGAGATCATAGGGATCTGGTTGGACCTGACAGAAGCTCTGACGGCGAAGCGCCTGTGGCGGACACTCGCCGGAGGTAGGGAGACGCGGCGGAGGGAAATTGCAGGAGCAAGGGGTGTGGACGAAGCGCCCAAGATCACGGCCGACATATCCATGGTTTGCTCCGGCGGAGAGAGGTTTGGGCTTTCCGGGATCGAGCGGAAGTTTTTCCGGGGTTTAAAAACGTCGCGGGTAGGTGGGAGAGGTTTGACTTGACTCTTCAGTTCGCCGGTGGTTCGAAGGGGTTTTGTACGGGGACAGCAGAAGATATATGGCCAAATAACATCAGGATCTCGTGGTTTGAAAAATATGGACCAATAACTTTTTTGTTTTTAAAATTTATTTCTAAAATCGTTGTAAAATTATGTACTCGGTATATAATATAAGAATAAGAGGTGAAATTACAACCTATAGAGCTAATTTATGCAATGAAGACATGTACATCAAATCCTAAAGAATAGGCAAACTATTGTTTAACATTTAAGGTGGATCCATTTTTGTTGTAAACAAAAAAAGAAGGGGGGCGCAAATTACATTGTACCGCCGGTTGTACAAGAACAATCGTACAACCAGCTTAAAATTTATGTCTATTGCACGATTTGGAGAAGAATAGCAGAGTTGACCCGATTTTTTGATCTGAACCGCTAAGGAGGCCTAACGATTTGGGGATAATAGCAGAGATCCGACTCTTCCTATGTTGATCTGGCGAGATCGAGGATTCGAGGAAGCACGGCTATGAGATCGATGAAGATGGATGATGTAGGCAATTGAGGAAACCCTAACTGTGGTCTATATGGTGATGAAGATGTCTCGGTGATTTTGCAGCAGTGAGATGCTATGAAGATGATGATGGTAAACATTAATTAGACTATATTTTCCGAATGTGAAGAGAAAGAATTGTAGGTTACTTTAGAGCGTTATTTGAGAAAGAGCACTACTATAATTGAATATTATAATTTTATTGAGCAATTGTGTGGAAATGAGTACTACATTAATTGAGAGTGCATACCATATTATTTTAGAATGAGTTATACGTTATTTCAAAATGAATATTTATGTTTTATGCGAAAATGAATACTACTTTACTTCAAAAAGAGTACTACCCGATTGTACCTTATTTATGGTACAACCGGCTATACCATATACGAACTCAGGGGGGAGAGTGGGTCCGGATCCCAAAAATGAAATCACCCTACATAGCACTCTAACTCACCCTAAATTACGCATTTAGCACTACTCATTGTTTTTAACAAACTTAGCAATTTATGGTGTCAATCCTTTCCTATGATACCCTTTACCCCTTTTTCGGTTTTTTTCATTAAAAATTACGGCATTCAACTCCAATCTCTCCTTTCGTTCTCCCGCACGCTATTGAACTTCACGGTCTCTCCATCCGTTCGCCGGCGATGATGCGTCCTCAATCCTTCGCCCACGATTCCTTGGCCGATCAACAGCGGCAATCATCAGGTTCTCTCCATGCTAATCTTTGATGTCGCTAATCATTTTCTCTTCTCCTTCAATTTTTAATTTTCATTCCTTCATCCTTTTATTCGGATTTCCCAATATTTTTAGTATTAATTATTGTATTTTCTTCGTATTGAAGATTAGGTGTATGTTGTGAAATCAATTTTGAAATACTAAGTATTTGTCCCTTTTGAAAAATTAGGTCTTTTTAAAGGCATTGTGATTTTGGAAGTGTGAAGATTAGGTGTTATGGTGTGGGCAGTGTGAAGATTAAATGTTAAAATTTTGTCTTGCATCCTTTTATTCAGATTTTGCTGTATTTTAAGTTTTAATTATTGTGTTTTGTGGCAGTGTAGATATATTGTGACAGTGTATATATTGTGACAGTGTATTTCAGACATTAAATTTTTGGCAGTGTATATATTGTGGCAATGTATTTCAGACATTGAATTTTTGGAAGTATATATTGTGGCAGTGTAGAGAGTATATATTGCAGTGTATAATTACCATAAAAATAAAAGGTCATGGCTTAAAATGAATTCTGCTCTTTTTTTGTCAGTGTTGTATGTGTTAGGGCAGTAAATTCAATCTCAAACAAATTGTGGCAGTGAAGAGCAGAGGATTTCATACTTATTTATAATGTGGCAGTGAAGAGTATACATTGCAGTATAATTCTAATTTTGGGAGTTTTTTTAAGGACAAAAACGGGAATTCATCCCAAAAACTAATAGCACTGCTATTTTGAGTATTATAAGGCTATTAAAGTGCTATTTTCGTATTTCTCCCTCCCAAAAAATGGCTTGGATTTTATGCCCAAGCCCACGGGTCGACCCGGCCCGAATAAATTAAAATATTTATTATTAGTATAATTACAATAAAATAATAATAACAACATTAAAATTAATAATAATAGAAAGAGTAATGCTATTTCAAATTGTTATAAACACACACACACTTCTATATAGAAAAAAATTGAATTATAAGTATATTCAATAAAATGAATACATATTACTACGTATCAATTATCACACATTGATTATGCTATTCTAATAAACAATATTTTCTACTCCTTTTGTACTAACAATATCAAACAAAACACATTTTTGTATTACTTATTTTTTTCATTTACTCATTATAGTTATTATATCAAAAATCTAATGTATTAACACATTACTTTGTTTTTTTAAAAAAATTATTTTTTCAATTATTAAGAAGATTTTGTCCTGCAGACTGGGAATCCCAAAGCCCGCTGGTATCCATGCAGGTCGGGGTCAAGGTTGGGCTTCAATGGTGAGGCCCGCTATACGGGCTCGAGCGTAGAAAATTCCCCTAATGTAGCGTCTCGGTCTGGCTCGAAACTCGAACTGGCCCGCACTTTGATCAGGTCTATATGAAACATAGAGGGAGAGGAGAGTGGATCTGAGCCCTAAAAACCACCAATTTTATCGTAGTACTTCATCAAAACCCTCTCTTTGTTAGTTTGTTCATCGATTAAACCCCTAAATACTCCTTCGAACTATAGTTCTCCTTCTCTGTAAGTTTCTTGTGCGATTCTCACATTAAGATGGTGAAATGTGTAGTTCTCGTTATAGCTCAGTTTGATTGCAGCTATGAAAAGATTGTCAATTTCTATACTTTCAAAAATTCCAAAACCATATCAAGCACACTAGGCAAAGAAAAAGGCAAGGAGAATAGATGTAGGTCTGGTTACAAAATCAACAAGCTAAAATATTGTTTCAGAGACTTCTTCAAGAAACGTGGCAGCATCAAGATTACTATTTCCTCGATTCCGTAGTTCGAAATCCCATGCATATTGAACAAATAATTCTATATTAGAAATATTATCTTAATAATGTTATTATACAAAATGTGCTAATGCATTAACCCACTTACAACAGCAATTTGCTATATAAATCTGGGATTCGAGGGCACCACTTGCGAGTTGTCACTAAAGAAATCAAGCAAAGACTTGTTACTATAGTTAATATATTAATTAGATCATAAGTAAGTTTCCTAAACAAGCATTAAAACAAAAAAGTTCTACCTTTGTCGAATGGTGCGTGAAGAGTCAACAACAGAAGCAAATGTCCGATCATGCTCACCATAAGCATCCAAAGGTGCTTTACAAAGTAGCAAAATCATGCTGGGCAAAACCGGTCGCAATCGCTTGAGAGCTGAGAGGTGTAATCGTTTAAAGCGAGAAGACATGGAAGAGAAAATGGAGATGAAGTTCAGCGGCTGTTAGGTTCAGAGACGGGTGACAGGGTGAGCAATCGATTCTCTCACTTTCCGTCTGAATCTGGGAGGAAAATGCTTTTCCACTTTTTAAATTTATCTTCTATCAACTTTTCTTTTTCTCACTAACCAAATAAAAAAAGTTTTCCCTCTTATTTTTTTTCTTTTCCTCTTAAAATCCGTGAACCAAACATAGTGCTAGGGCATTTAAATTTAGGATGCAAATATATTTTAAAAGGCACCAAGATTTAGAGAAGTTGAATCATTTAAGTTTACTCTTTACTTCATACTAACACCGCCCCCACCCTCCCCATTGTTACGCGAAGAGTGTAGTACTTTCTTCTAAGTACCCCTGAGTATCTTAACATATGATAAACTAGTTTTTTTGAATTTGTTTTAATAGACTACCCTCTTCATCAGACAAATTCTTTTATTTATCATTTCTAAGTCTTTTTTATATTATAACATGATTTTTTATTTCTTTTGTAGATAATAATTCAAGTATAGTATTAAACATGTGTTCTTCCTTGCCATATATTTCAATTGAAATTCTATTTTGTTGAGACTTGGGATGCCATAGATTGAAATTTCTTCCCCATGCAAATTCTTCAAACTTAAGGTCTCCACCAAAAAAATGGCAGATGCAAAAGAGAGACTATCAAAGGTAAAACTTCTTTTGTTGATATTTTCTCACTCTTGTTTCTTTAATCCTCTGGGATATCTGACATCTTTCAGGATTGACTTAAGTAATGATCGTGGCATGTGTGCTTTGTTAAATTATTACTATTATTATTTTAGTCAACCAATTGTGGCGAATACGTGCATGATAATTAGGCTTATGACACATTATATTATGACGGCTTTTATTTTCTTGTTCAGCTTCCTGTGTGATATATTATATTATCGTAGTCATTGTGAGATTATTAGAACTTATGCATTGTGAGATTCATATAAACTCGTGTGTGCCTTATATAGACCTATTTTGGAGAAGTTGCTCAAGTTTTGGGTTGCGAAAAAGATTGTACAAGATTTACTAAATGTTGTGAGTATTGATAATGATGGAAAAGGTTCAATTGAATCGGGTGGGCGTCGTCGTGAAGAGTGGGATGAGTGTCAAAATGGAGTTTGCTTGAACATAAACGATTTGCTAACCATGATCGATATGATTTGTGCCACGGAGGCACCACGGCGCCCTACCTCAAGTCAAAAGGGTTTGCTTCCTCCATAATTACTGAATTTCAGAAAATCTCTAGGAAACTGTTGAAGTGAAAGGGAAAACATCCTTTGAGTGGCAGCTTCAACTGATTGGGAAACATCCCATTATCTACGATGAGGTTGATGAAATGAATTTCATGTATTCTGTTTACAATCACTGTCCATATGCTTTCTCATTGCTTGTTGATATACCTGAACTGGATGGCTTCATTAAAGAGGTTAGACCGCATCATGGTCCGTTGTATGATGTGAAGCATTTCAACTACGGATATGAGTGATATGGAAGAGGCAGATATAACAGTGGCCTTTCTGGGCTTGTGTTCTTTGGTAATGGGATGCGATATCTTCAACAACATTTCTCGTCTTAGTCTGAAATTAAATATGCCACTACGTCGTTCATGCACCGACTTCTGTTGACGGTTTTGCCCGACATGATTTCGCTACTCTCTAAAGCACTTTTGGAAGTTTACGGTGAGCATGATCGAACATTTGATGCGGTTGTTGACTCTTCACGCACCATTCGACAAAGGTAGAAGTTTTTTGTTTTAATGCTTGTTTAAGGAACTTGCTTATGATCTAATTAATATATTAACTATGGGAAGAGGTCTTTGCTTGATTTCTTTAGTGAGAACCCACGAGTGGTGCTCTAAAATCCCTCATTTATATAGCAAATTGTGGGGGCTTCGAGGGCACCACTCGAAGGTTGTCACTAAAGAAATAAAGCAAAGACTTGTTACCATAATTAATATATTAATTAGATCATAAGCAAATTTCGTAAACAAGCATTAATACAAAAAAGTTCTACCTTTATCGAATGGTGCGTGAGGTGTCAACAACGGCATCAAATGTCCGATCATACTCACCATAAACTTCCAAAAGTACTTTACAGAGTAGCGGAATCATGCCGGGCAAAACCGACAACAGAAGTCGGTGCATGAACGACGTAGTGGCATATTTAATCTCTGGCCAAGACGAGAAATGATGTTGAAGATATCGCGTTCCATTACAATAAAACACCAGCCACAAAGGCTATTTTTATATTTGCCTCATCCATATGCGTAGTAGAAATGCTTCACATCATACAACGGACCATGACGCGATCTAACCTCTTTAATGAAGAAATGAGAAAGTATATCAACAAGCAATGAGAAAGCATTTGGCAGTAATTGTACAAATTGTAAACAAAAAACATTAAATTCATTTCATCAACCTTATCGTAGATAATTGGATGTTTCCTAGTCAGTTTAATCTGCCTCTTAAAGGATGATTTCTCTTTCATTTCAACAGTTTTCCGACAGACTTTCTGAAATTCAGTAACGATTGGAGGAAGCCAACCATTTTGACTTAAGGTAGGGTGCCCTGGTACCTCCGTGGCACAAACCATATCTATCATGGTTAGCAGATCCTTTATGTTCAAGCAAACTCCATATGGCCACCCATCCCACTCTTCACGACGATGCCCACCCAATTCAATTGAACATTTTCCATCCTTATTAATCCACAAAGCACCTAGTAGATCTCATACAACCTTTTTCCGCAGCCCAAAGCTTGAGCAATTTTTTTCAAAATAGGTCTATATAAGGCACACACGATTTTATATGAATCATGCAATGCATAAGTAAAAATAATTTCACAATGACTACGAGTAATATAATATATCACATAGGAAGTTGAACAAGAAAATATAAGCCGTCATAATATAATGTGCCATAAGCCTAATTATCATGCACATATTAAACACAATTGGTCGACTAAAATAATAAAAATAATGATTTAACAAAACAAAGCACACATGCCACAATCATTACCTAAGTCAATCCCATCTGCATATCCATGCTTTTTCTCCCGATTTTTCCATATCGATAAATCTCGTTCTTTTTTAGCCATTTTTTTAAAACTCTACAAGCATAAAAAAGATTATCAAAGAAGGGAAAGAGGATTAAAGAAACAAGAGTGCGAAAAATCAACAAAAGAAGTTTACCTTTAATAATCTCTCTTTTGCATCTACCATTTTTTTGGTGGAAAGCTTAAGAGAGAAGAATTTGCATGAGGAAAAATTTTCAATCCACGACGTCCCAAGTTCCAACAAAACGGAATTTGAATTTCAACTGAAATATATCACAAGGAAGCACACATGTTTAATGCTATACTTGAATTATTATCTACACAAGAAATAAAAAATCATGTTATAATATAAAACAAACTTATAAATGATAAATAAAAGAATTTATCTGATGGAGAGGGTAAACTATTAAAATAAATTCAAAGAACTAGTTTTCTCATATGGTAAGATACTCGAAGGTACTTATAAGAGAGTACTACACTCTTCGCATAATAATGGGGAGGGTGAGGGTGGTGTTAGTATGAAGTAAAAAGTAAACCTAAATGATTCAACTTCTCTAAATCTTGGTGCCTTCTAAAATATATTTGCATCCTAAATTTAAATGCCTTAACACTATGTTTGGTTCAAGGATTTTAGGAGAGAAAAAAAGAAAATAACAGGGAAACCTTTATTTGTTTGGTTAGTGAGAAAGAAAAGTGAGATGAAAAGAAAAGTGGATAGAAAATATATTAAAAGAGTGGAAAGGCATTTTCCTCCCTGATTCAGACGGAAAATGAGAGAATCGATCGCTCACCCTGTCACCCGTCTCTGAACCTAACAATCGCTGAGGTCCATTTTCTTCGCCATGTCTTCTCGCTATAAACGATCGCGCCTCTCACCTCTCAAGCGATCGCAAGCGGTTTTGCCTGGCATGATTCCACCACTCTGTAAAGCACTTTTGGAAGTTTATGGTGAGCATGATCGAACATTTGATGCACGTTGTTGACTCTTCACACACCATTCGACAAAGGTAGAATTTTTTTTATTTTAATGTTTGTTTAAGGAACTTGTTTATGATCTAATATATTAACTATGGTAACAGGTTTTTGCTTGATTTCTTTTGTGACAACCCGTGAGTGGTGCCCTCGAGTCCCCCATTTATATAGCAAATTGTTGTTGTAAGTGGGTTAATGCATTTGCACATTTTCTGTAATAACATTATTAAGGTAATATTTCTAATATAGAATTATTTGTTCAATATGTAGGGAAACATATGATTTTGTCTTTTCTTTACTGACACAAGTAGGTTGTTTTGAAAGGGTGTAAGGGCTCTAGCGAGTGTTTAAATTGAGAAAATGGTAATCTTGATAATGCCACGTTTCTAGGAGAAGTCTGTGAAACAATATTTTAACTTTTGTAGTTGTTTGAAGACAGATTATTGTTGTTCAGATGTTGAAACTAGTGTGATCTAATGCTCGGTTTTGATGGGCGTGGCTTTTGTGATGGTCAAACTGATCGTATCTATCAATAAACAATTGCAACCCTAATTGCGATAAAACGATTGATTCACTCATCCCTAAAATTCTCCATTTTTGATACAATGTCTTCTCTCCAAAACACATTGATGTCTAGCCGTAAGTTTGTGGCACCAAACGCAAATTATCACTTTCCTGTGCAGATCTGACTCAATTTTTTATCAAAATCAGAGGCCCACAAAAAGCACGATAAGAAGACCCTCTGTTCTTCATTCATATGGGATGAGCAATCATGAATTTGAAGCTGTTTCAAACACTCAAATTTTGCATGATGTCGAAGATGTAAGTCCCAAATTCTCTTCTATGTGTTTGATGAATTGTCTCTAACAAGTTTGTGTATGCAGTCCTATGCACTGTTATCCTAATGGTATCAAATTGTTCTTGTGGGGAGACACACAGATATTATGTTCATGTTGCACATATTATTTTGTCCCTACATTTGTGCTGAGTTGTTGACTTTCTGTGAAGTGAACTGATTTTTTTATGCTGATTTCTATGAACATACTTGCAGTAGGATATATTATTTGTGTCATTATTTCATAGGAGTGCCTGTTGCAGTATGTGTAGAAATTATAATTCTTGTGATGGGCATTTCAGTGTGTTTAATGTATTGGGAAGTCCCTTGCATAGAAGTGCCTTTCCCTTGCGTAGAGGGGGTTTGGTTCAACTTAGATAAGTAGAACTTATGTTATTATATTAGAATAACATAATAACATATAAAGTAGGACTTATGGTAGTAGCTCTCTGTAGAGAAGAGCTTATAAGAGTTGAGCCCTAATAAAAAGTAATTCAGTTGTCATGAGCATAGTAAATATTGAGTTGCTGACTTTCTGTGAAGGGAACTGATTTTTTTTTCTGATTTTCTGTGAACAAAATAAGCTATAACTTGTACAAGAGATATCAGTGTGCATCATTTGACAATGTGACTTTTGGACTAGGAATTAACAACTTCAGGTAATGCAATTTAACTCTTAGAATGAAAATATTTCATTTTCACATGCACAACTCCTCTAATAGCTACAACCAAACCAAAGAGAACTGTTTACACATCCATGATATATAGGTGATTGGAAACCACAAATTTGAGTTAGAAACAGAGCAATCATCAAATTAAGACCAAAATTGGAAATTCCAGAAAATGCACATTACACATGCACAAATCTGAAGTCTGAACTATAAGAGTAACTAGGAACAGCACAACATCAAAACAGTCCAAAATTCAGCTCAAAAATGGCAACTAACAACGCAAAAAATTTTATGGTGCATTTAGTTTGGGGAAAATATTTTCCAGGAAAATATTTTTAAAACATAGGAAATTAGAGTTGACAAAGGAAAATTTCTACTCAATCTGTGCCCCCATTACCGTCTCCCAACCCCCCATTCTGCTAAACTATTTTTAAATTGGCTCAAAATATCGTTTTAAATATCAATTTTCAAATATTAAAAATAGAAACTGATATAGAAAATGTGATCAGAAAATAGAAACTAATTTTCAGAGTTCAGAGTTGTTACCAAACGGATCTATAAGATTAATAAACTTTAAAACTGAGAGTTTAGAGTTGTTACCCTAGATGACCGTTCGTAAATGAACTCAGATGGCGTTTGGCTGGGGATGGAAGCCCTGGTCGCGGCGTGCCTGGTGTCTCCGTCGGGAAACAGCGGAGGAGGAGATGGGTTTCCGATCCAAACCCCTCGTGCTCGTCTCTGTCTCTCTGTTCGCTCCCCCTCTCCTGACCGTTTATCTCCTTTCTTCACCCAGATGCGTCGCCGGGAACGAAACGGAGGAGACGGATTCTGAAAGCAAAACACTAGTTCTCCGCCTCCTTCTCTACGCTGTCTCTAAGTTAGGAAGAGGGGAAATAGGGTTTTATTGTGTAGGTAAAAGTGTATACAAAATTGATCAATGAAATGAGAAGATTAAATACAAACACAATGAGAGTATTATGGAAGAAATTAGAGCCTACATGAAACTTTATGCAATTGAGTGAAAACTAAATTTCATATTTTTGATTAAAAATTTTATAAAATCCATTTCTAAAATAATTAAAATAATAGTATAAAGTTTTAAAATGAACTTCTAAAAGAATAGTGAAATATAAAAATTTATTTTTCTAGCTTATTTATAATCAAAATAATACTCTTTTTCTTAAAATTTCAAATTCATATTTGTGACTAACAAAATGTTTTTCGTGTCTAATAAAATTCAAGATGAAAAAAGAATTCATAATGACAAAATTAATACGGGGTAAATTTTTTCGTGGGTTTCATATGATTTATCTTAAGAATTATTAAATTCATTTGTTACCCTGTATTAATTTTGGGAACTGAGCAACTGTAGGATCTGTATACAACTGGCAGAAACACTTACCCTATAAGATGTCCTTTCTAGCATGGCGCGTTTTGGAGAGGCGCCTTCCCACTGATGATGTCCTGGCGAGATTTGGCTTTGCTTTGCCTTCTCGGTGCTTATGTTGTTCGCCGCCAGGACGGGAGACCATTACACACATTTTCTATCATGGGAGCATGGCGTGGCGTGTTTGGACTTATTTCACAGAGTCTGCCCGTGTCCGGGGCACACATCACAGTTTGAGGTCCGCCTTGAGTATATGGTGGGCGCAGATGCCGAGGAGCAGGATGCTCTCGTTCCTGTTCCACCGCCTGCCGATGATCATTCTTTGGGAGATTTGGACGCACTATGCTGCGTGCAAGTATGGGGATGCTCGCCCCAACTTTGCACGCATTATTTTCCGGGTGGCTACGGCGGTGTCGGAGTGCATCTATCGTCGCTGGCCTAGCAGGGGTCTCTTGCCTTCCCGATAGTCGGTGATCATGGAGCACGTTCGACGAGGCTCTGGACGCAGGAGGGTGGTGTCGATTCGGTGGGTCCCACCGCCGGGTGGCACTATGAAGGTGAATGTGGCAAGGGCCCCGCTACGTGGGGCATTTTGCAGCGATCGTGCGTGACTCGACAGGTAAGTTTCTTTATTCTCTTTCTTCTATTGCATTCAGGTGGGAACCAGTGGAGCGTGGAGGGATGGACGTGCTTCTTCGATGTATTCAGTGGTGTATATCCCAGTCCTTCTTGCGTATCCACGTGGAGTCCCATCATTCAGAGCTAGCTTGTTTCTTTAGAGAAGGTACCCCGTGGTACCTTCATGATGTTTATGCTAGACTGCGTTTCCTCTGTTCTATCACGACGGTCCACTGGTTTCATTGTGACGTGCGGGCGAATGCCCCGACGACTGAGTTGGCATTGTGGGCCGTGGATAGTACAGAGGGGACGCGGGAGATTACTAATCTGCAGGATCTTGACATTCGGGTACGATCTCTCCTTCCTATGGACGATCTGCCCTTCTTTCGCATAGATGAGGATGGGGGTAACCCCTAGTTGTACTGATTTGGGTGCCTTAACGACCGCGTCTGCGGTTAAGAGGCGCACGTATGTACCCGCGGTTAAAGGGTGCCCGTTGGTTCCCGCGGTTTGGGGCCACGTGTTGTACCGACGGTGNCGCCTGCGGTCAAAAGGCGCACGTATGCGTCCGCGGTAAAGGATGCCCGTCAGTGCTTGCGGATTGTGGATTTGAGCACCCATGGCACACACGGAGAGTGCGTATGCGTGGTACCGTCATCAAATCGGTGCCCTCGTTGGGAGGCTGGGTGGGGCCCGACGAGGTTTCTTCCGCCTGCGTCAGTGCTTGCGCGTGAGGTTAGAGCACCCGCTATCTGTCGGCGGTAATGGGCTAAGGGTTGCCACTGACCCATAGTGGTACTTCTTCCTTCCTTCTCCATTTCTCTTGGGATTTCCTCTCTTGGAATCTCTTCACTTTCATCTTCATCATTGTGGATTTGAACTTTCTTGAGACTGCTTCACTGGTTATTTTCTTGGATTTTGGACTTTCTTGGATTTCTACACGACTGGACTACTTGGATTTGGTTGGGTTGAGACTTCTAGTTGGGTCGTGGCATTGGCGTTGGGCTTCGGGCTTCACGGATGGGCTGCTCACCTTGGCGGAATGAACCGATCACTTGGGCTGGTCGCTGATGGTTGGACGGCCTGGTGCTGGGCTTGGGCTGATTGGATGATTGGGTTTGGTTTGGGCCTCCTTAGGTCGGGTTTCAGATGCGAATTTGGGCTAGCACACATGCCTTCCTTCATGCTTTGGGCTTTTCCAGTTTTGGGCTCTACTTGGCTCACTTGGATTATTTTTGCACATATTATTTTATTCATTCTTTAGTTGGGATTTTTGGATTTTAGACTAGACTTATGTCGATTGCATTTCTTGGCTTAGAACATTTTTTCTTGATCGGATTATCTGACCTTAGGCCTTACCCTTGCGAGGGTTGAGGCTCCGGAAATGATTTTATTCCTAGATCTAAGTGGAATGTTTTGAGCCGGCTTTGTAATTGCACTTAAGTCTATCTTCCAATATCCGATAAGCGCTTCACATTATAGTTTTTTGGTTGTTGCTTACTTTTTATACAAGTGAGGAGTCTGTTCCCGCTTGTTCAGACGTTTGTATTCTTTGATTATTTAATAAAATGCATTTTATTGAAAAAAAAATAAAATAAAATGTTTAACCCATGAAATTTCTTAAAATATTAGTAAAAAACTATTAAAATCTCTATATTTCAATTCGTAAAATATCAAATAATTTCATAAAAATACATGGATAAAAAACAATTCCTAAAAATAAAATAAATTTATTTTCCAAAATAAAAATATTTATAGTCACGTTTGATATATTTCACAAAAACTTATTTTGTAAAAATTAAAAATAATAACAATTATTTTACAGCTGAGTTTTGCTTGAATTGTCAAGTGAATCTATTTTCAAAAAAGTAAGAGAAGAAATATAGTTACATTTTTTCACATAAAATTTTAAAAATTAATAACCTAAAAAATGATCCCTTGCATTTTACATCCGAAATTTTTTTGCACTTGATATTAATTTATTTTAAAATAGCAAAAACAAATATAATTGTAAGAGTTTTCACAAAGGAAAATTACAAAAATGTTTTAAAATAATTATATGTATTTCATTCTTGACATCATTAAAGTTACAACTACTACTTTTTAAAAAGTACAAAAAAATATTCGCATGGGATATATACAACAAAACAATATTTTCAAAAAAACAAGTCACATATTTCTCATACGTGAATTTTATCAAAATTCTACATAGATATGAAGTGGGGGATCGGAGGCAAGGTCATCCTCATTCGAAATTTATCAGCGTGAATATGAGTGGCCAATAGAGGGACACAAAACATTGAGGTGCTCCTAAATGCATAATTGGGATAAAATTATAATTATTATCACGGATACCTAAGTTGTAAAAAGGTTAATCCGAAAGGGACATCATGAAAAATTACTCTACATTTAAATGTTGAAAACACCACAATTTTCTCCACCGAACATCTACATTTTATACAGAGGACATTAAGTGAATAAATCTCAACTATAAAGTATTACATAGATAATTAATGCTTAATAACATTGATTTATGAAAAATGCCTTATTTGAAAAGACTATTTTGAGATTACTCAAAGAAATTTATAATTTATAAAATTTAAAAATAAAATTTGTACTTTATGGTGTATTTAAAAATTACATTAAAATTTATACTGTATAAAACAAGAGATGATATAATTATAGTGAAAGTATTAAATAGGACTAAAACATAAGTCATTTTCCAATGTAGGATTTAAACTTTTTTATTCTCTAAGTAGGACTTAATAATGTCTAGTGGGAGAAATAATGTCCAGTAATGATGAACGTTTACTTGAATAATGACTAATTGATAATGACCAAAGGTCCTACATTGGGAAATAAAAAAATATGGTCATTTATTGGAAAAGTCATTATGTTTTAGTTCTATTTAGGTAAATTTCTCATAATTATATTATTTTATCAAGTAATTTACAAAAATATATAGAAAAAGTGATTTAATTTTGATAGTGTAATATAATGTGCGGGAAGAAAGTTTTAGAATGGGAGAAGGACTAAAGTAGGACTAAAACATTAAAAATATACCAGAATAGGACTTCCATGTTTTTATTCCCAGAATAGGACCTAAAATGCATTTACATTACCAAACATGGTCATGTACATTACCAAAAAAGTATAATAATGTGCACATGTACAGTGCCATATTAGCACAGTGTAAAGTCATACTTCAGAAAAAACATGAAAATCCTTTTTTCAATATGTTTTAATCCTATTTAGGGTGATTTTTATTTTAGAATAGACTTTTTATTTAAAGAAAAAAAAAATAGAAACCTCTCTCGGGCTTTAGCTTAAAATGCCTTGAATATTTAAAGCCCATCGTCTCCCTCATCCGGTCCTATTGCCAGAACAACATGTGCCTGTATATCTGTCTCTCTCTCTAAAGAGCCAGCGACTTCTCGGCGAAATCTCCCGACAATCAAACCCTAGGGGTTCACTGATTCAGATGTGCAGTTGAATTCAATTTATATGCAAAATTTTGTACATCCGTTGAGCATCTCTATCCGACTTCAGGAACCCTAGATCCGGCCGCGCAGTCCTTCGGAGATCTGTTTGGGTATTCATCAGAATTTGACGATATGGATGCTTTCCACAGATCGAATCCGCAGGTCACGCCCGTGCCAACTGCAACGGCGGCGGCGGCCGCAGCGCCCGTGGCGTCAGCTGAGGAAGAAGCTATCAAGAAAAACACGGATTGCGTTTACTTCCTCGCTTCACCTCTTACGTGCAAGAAGGTGTGTCTTCTTCCCTTCTTACTGTGATATTTTAGCTGGCATGTGCTACAGCGGAGTATATCATATGCTGTTTTTTTGGATCCTTGTATTCTGTGCTTTCTATTTCTGGTTTGGTTAAGGATTGTGTGCATATATCTGTTCTAGATCCGTGGATCCATTAATAAAGATTTGTTTTTTTTCTTAAATTTTTTAATTCCTTTGTTGTGTGGTTGTTTATGAATTATGAACTACTTTTGTGTTGGGATTTCATCTTCTAAGTTGTCCTGTGTGCTTGTATTTATACAAATTGAGCTAATGGAAGTGCTTCCAAAACCTGCAAGTGAAGTCTTGCTCAACTCATCTAGTGAAGATCAGTTTAATATTTATTAATTTCTCTGGAACACACATTGCACCACCAAAGCATATTTGTGAAGTTAATAAGAATTAGGCTGAATTCTTTGAGTTCTATTGTAGTATTGTTTCCATTGTTTCCTACAAATGACTGCTTTTTGTAAATCAAATAGTTTTTATTCTTTCAGAGTTAAAATAAGAAATCCAAAGTCCAAACGTGTTAATGTGACACGCAAACTAGTTGTGCAGTCCCACTTTCTATTAGGGACTGTTTGGTGAGTAAAACTCTGTCTAAATGGAAGGGTTTCAAAATTTGAATGAAAAGTGTTTGGAGAAAATTGAAATGGAATCAAATCTCTCTCTCTCTCTCTCTCTCCCTGCTGTTTAGAAAGTTTGGTCTAAAATTGGCAAATTTGTTGGGATTTCTTTTTGTTATTTTTTAAATACGGAGTACTAAAAAGAACTTGGAGAGCAACTCAGACCTGCGTGAAAAAGGAAAAAAACTTAAATAAAAAATTTGAAGAATGTATATCAATCTTTGCGGGTGCAATGCCAGCTTCCTGTTGGATCTTTGCCGGTGCCAACCCAAAGTGCTTTGCTGGAAGGATCATGACCTTCACTCCGATGCAGACAAGATCTTTGCTGGTGAGGATCTTGCTGGATCCAGGCAGGTGCATCCCCTGCCAGCATCCCATCAGGTGACAAAAAAAGTTGGATATGTAGAAGATGAAGACATATTCGTGCTTCCGAAGGAGAAGATGCAAGCAAGATATAGAATCTATTCTGAAATTGGCAGGCTTCAATTATTGGATACATGCTAATTAATGGAGATATTAATACACGGGTTATTGGGAGAGTTTCCATATCTTGGAAGGCTTTCTTTAGTACATCAAACACTAAATTTGGGAGCTTGATATTGGGCTTGGCTCACCCAACACGCCCTTAATATCTTTTTATGGAAGGCATTAGTATGCAATGTGCGTTATTATACTTCGTATTTTAGTCTTTAGAGCAATATTTTGTATATTACTCTTTACACAAAATGGATATGATTCGTTGGGTGGTATGTGTAAATCTTGTGTTCTTGTCAAACTTATTATTTAACACTTTAGGTTCCTACTGTCTACTGATGTTTATTCCCTTGTCTGACTATAGGGAAGTGAGTGTGAGTATCGCCATAGTGACAGTGCTCGGCTTAATCCAAGAGATTGCTGGTACTGGTTGAATGGGAATTGCTTAAACCCTAAATGTGCCTTCAGGCATCCTGTAAGTTCTGCAACCTAATTACCAATTATTTCAGATGTTCTCTTTAAACTTGCATAGTATGTTTTTCTCATTAATTGTCCAAAGATTGTTAACACTTATTAACTTTTGTTATAAATGTCTCCTCTTTGACAGCCTCTCGATGCATTAGTAGGCCCTGAAGTCCTAAATCATACTGAAACATTCATGCCTCCTGCACATGCTATGGCCGCTGCAGCACAGATGCACTATGTTTCTAATAAACACGGAGTTCCTTGCATCTTCTTCCAGCAAGGGATTTGCATGAAAGGTGACCGGTGCTCTTTCTTTCATGCTCAAACCTCTCTGGCTAACAAAGCCCCACATAAGCAAGGTGCGCTTACGACCACCACTGAGGCTGCTCCTAAGAAGACCTTTGGTGCGCTTGAAAAATGCACACAATTGAAAAACAATCCACAAGTAAATGCCCTGAAGAGTGGGGGCATGCCAACTGCAGCAAAGCCAGCAGTCAAAGAGGGGTTGCAGCTGGCAAAGAACCACTTTCTTGCTGACAAAAATACAGCACCATCATCTGTAAATGATGATGAACGTTCTATGTATAAAGCAACAAGTGTTCCTGCTAATGGAAATCCTGTCAGCAGGACAAGCCAAATGCAACCTGGCTTTGATGATCATGACGACAACATGCACAACAAGGATGAGGAGGTCTCAAGGGAGGCGTCTCCTGGCTTTGATGTTCTGGTGGATGATGAGCTTAGAGATTCTGATTATTACCCGGTTGAAGATCAATACGGAGGAGCTGGAGACCATGAGAGGAGTGAATACGATGCCAACCCCTCAGCCGATTACTCAATGGGAGGTATTGACCAAGACGTGTACCGGGAGGCGCATAATGATTATGAAAAACGTTATGGTTGGGAGCAACATGGAGTTTCATCAGAGAGGAAACCAGTGAGATCATATCATGATGGGAGACATCATGGCAACAATACTAACAGCTTGGATCACGTTCGTGAGTCAGATTTAAGGCATAGGTTATCAAAACCAAGAAAGGTTAATGGTTTACGTTCAGTCATTAGCAATGTACATACTCATCATGAAAAACGTGTTGAGGGACGGGGGAACTATCGGGGATCATGGAGAGAGAGAAACAATTTATCATCTTCACATGAAAGTTCTTCCATTAGCAGTCGCCTTCAGGGCCGAATAAGTGTTCCTGTCAGATCTTCACCGCTTGATGTTGCTGAGATTCGGCCAGAACTGGACAGGAGCCGAGATCGTGACAGACTGTCTCATGGAAGGCTTCAAGAGAGAATGAGAGGAAGACTGCAAGAGGATCCCGGTTTTGTTGTGGGTAGACATAGCAGAGGCCCACTACTAAGAAGAGATGTGTTTGGTGAGGATGATGCAAATTTTGCTGCTCCAAAAAGTTTATCTGAGCTGAAAGGAAAGAAGAGTGGTGTCGAAAGGAATGGGGAATTGTCCCACCTAGGGAAAAGGAAGCCCCACCAAAATTTTGATGACCTGCAACCATCAGGAGGGGGCGATCTTTCGTTTGAAGGGCCAAAGCCTTTGGAAGAGATTTTGAAGCGAAAGCGACGAGCCAGTGACAATAATAGTGGAGACCACAATAATCACCAAAGGGTAAAAACTACAGCCAAAATCCAACCTTCCTCTTTTCACAAGGAAGACATTCAACCACCTTCTCTCTCATCAAGCATCAACCACAGTGGCGAACTTGAGAACTACAAATCAGTTGGCGATGATCTTGAGGTTGAAGATGGAATGGTAGCTGGTGAAGAAGGAGCCGAGTACGAAGATGATGTGGCAGAAGGCTATGAAGGCGACCAACATGGTGGGGAAGAAGAAGACTACTACGAGCAAGTGGACGGAGATGAAGAAGATGTCAATTTGAACGACCCTGGCGAGAATGTGGACCCCGAGGATGAGGAATATCTATATGAGGACGAAGATGCTGATGACTTTGCAAAAAAGATGGCCGTTGTTTTCTCATGAATTGGACACCTATGCCTTGTCTTATATTGTTCATCATTCACTGACTGCTGCTGCTGCTGCTCTTGGTTAGCATTGAAATCATCTTCAGAGAGAGAGAGGGCAGCGAGACCATATAAACAATTTCATCTTTTTTGTGAGTAGAGTAAGCACTTCTATTTGTACTGCTTCTCTTTGTATTATTTGTTACGGAGTATATTATTGGCATTGTTCTCATTGCAGCACTCCCACCCATTGCATTGCCTGAAGGGGTCATGTGGCATTAACACATAGATTTGCCTAATAATAATTTCACTTTTGTCTTTTGATGCTTACTTAAGTTTTGTGTGTGTGTAGTAAGTCTAAAATGACACCGGTGCTACTGGTATCATTTGCTTACACCAATTTGTTTGGGTACCTATGGTGCTTCGTTTATAAAAATAATGGTTCATATCCCCTCAAACTATCCCTACCCTGACAGGTATCATTTGCTTACACCAATTTGTTTGGGTACCTATGGTGCTTCGTTTATAAAAATAATGGTTCATATCCCCTCAAACTATCCCTACCCTGACAGTATACTGGTACCATTTTAGACAAAACAATGCGACTTTACAATAATATCTATTGTTCGAGTCAGTTTCCGATTATTTATCTTACTTTATACGAGTGATTTTTGATTGTTTGAGTTTGAGAACAGATTTTTCTACCCGTGGTCGTTGAGTAGGTCAATGAATCACGTGGTCCGTTGGCAAAGTTTATGATTCTTTACCTGATTTTTTAGAGCAGGTGTTTATCCTCTATTGATTATTTGTGATTTTATGAATTTATATATGATTCCCATTTTTTTCATAGACAAAAAAAAAATGACTCCCATTTTATTTCAAAAAAAAAAAGTTACGGAATTAGAATTGGTGTTTTTGTGCCCCAATTACACTCCATTGACAGCCTTAATCATTCTTATCAATTGGTCTCCACGTCTCTTTAGTACTCATATTATTGTTATTAAAAAAAAGAATTTGTCAATAGGTCTATCTTAGAAATATTTAATTTATCCCTATCCTTGTTAAACAAAACTTGAAAAGGCAGTCATTTTTATTTTATAATTACTCATAAAATTCATCTCAAACCATTCAAGTAACTAAAATGAAAAAAAAAGCTTACGTAGTAGGTAACTTTTATCCAAAAATTAAAAAACACCTCAAGAACTCTATTTTAAATCCAAACTCTATTAAAGAACTTTAGCAATTCTAAAAAAAGGGTTTTAACCCTAATCACCCCTTCCACTTCATCTTCCCTATTCTGAAGAAGATGCCATTGCCATCAAGCTTTGGAGTTCCTACTGTGATCAAAAGCTGCAACAGTTCAAATTACCAAAACCAAACTCATGACAATTTGACCTAATTGTCACTCTCTGCAAAAAAGGCTAACTCCCACCATTGGCATACCCGTAGGTTCAGCAAAGAACACCAAAACGCCATTTAACCCCAAGTTTGACACCACCAAAGACAATTATGTAACTGGACACACTGATGATGTCAACTTTGGTGCCGTCCATAGTGTGATTGTAGGCATAACCCAAAGAACATTGATTGAACTTAAGATGAAGAAGATGAGAAGAGTATATGAAGCTGAAAAAAAACTGCAGCCATTATTATTATTATTATTACTGAACCAAAAGATGTACAATGAAAGTGATAAACTTTTTGTCCCTCTGAACAACAAAAAAATCAATGCATGTCCCCCTAAACGTACCGTGCAATACCCATAAACATGGCCTCTTTTTTGTTCCGGCCACATTATAATGCATGTGCAGATAGTGTAAATAGCAGCGCGCGCTTTAGAAAAATCGCCAATGGAAGCAGCAACATGAGGAAGAAGAAGAAGAAGAAGAGGGCACGCGTCCAGTTTGCCGTATATATTCGGCCTGTTTCTCAGCGTTTGAAGCATGTTGTCTCATCTTAGCCTCAGCTGCGCATCTCTTTGCTTCGGCTTTGCTCCTTACTGAAGATAGCTTTTTCATTAGTTCATCTTGGCCTCTTGTCTTCATCCTTTCCACCTCCATCTGAAAAAGAAAAAAAAATGTGTAAGGACCCACTTGGGAATTGGAGAAATTCTTGTTTTTCTAGATTTGAAAGATGAATTGGCGGTGATGGATACCTTGGACCAGGGGGTATAAGGTCCAATGAAGAAGACCCGGAGGCCCGAGGTGGAATGAAGGCGGAATGAGGATAGGGAGTTTGGGCCGAGGCCCAAGTCCGGTAAGTGCGCCCTACCTAGTGACTCCCTATACTTACAACTTACGACTAGAAAGTCACAGAAGTACAAAAACAACAACCACCCGGTATAATCCTAACTCTATTGTGGTTTGGTTGTCAAGATGTGTCAAGAAACCAACTCAGTCAAAAACTCAAACTCGTGGTTGTAGGCCTAAGAAAGGTTATATACTCTAACACACCCCCTCATGTGCAAGCAAGATTTGTTTATGCTCGAGCCTTTTATGCAAAAATCAATTTTTTTAAAATTGGGTGGCACTGACTTTCGAACAAATGACCAAATAATCAACAAGACTCTGATACCATGTCAAGGAACCAATTCAACTAGGTCCAGGAACAGTTTATACTAGCTCTAACACGCTAACAGAGACTAAGGGGCTGTTTGTTTTAGCCTCTTAATGGTTCAGATGTCTGAATGGTTCAGCACTTAATGGTTCAGACTGTTTGTTTCAACCTCTTAATGGTTCAGATGTCTGAATGGCTCAGACATTTGCCTCTGAATGGTTAAGTATTATACAGAGTCTGAATGGTTAAGACCTCTTATATGAATTGATCACACATTTGCCTCTGAATAGTTAAGCAATATACTACCTCTTAATGGTTCAGACCTCTTACTGGTTCAGCACTTAATGGTTCAGACCTCTTACTGGTTCAGCACTTACCTATTCAGAAGTTGCCAAACAGCCCCTAAGAAGCGAAGGGAAGTTTAATGTGCTTTTTTTATTTAGTGCATAATGTGCGCGAACTAAAACATTGTCAATGATGACCTCTGTTTAGATATCGGCAATGAACAGATGGATATTACTTCAGTTTTCTAAATTCACAGAGGTAATAGAAAATATTACCTCAGTTTTCCTCATCTCTGCCTCCGCCTTGGCTATCTGGTGATTCTCCCATGCTTGTATCTTCATTTCTTCTCGCTTAAACCTGAGGTGCAATAGATCACATTTAGTTTTTTTTCATTTCGCGATTTTCTTGTTTTGAAAGAATATAAAGAAATACAAACTACGGAGTAAACCGAGTAATATATTCTCTCGGACCGTAAAAGAATGTCAAAAAGGTTAGAATTCGACACTTTTTAGAGATAGAGTGAGCATAAAACATTGTACCATTTTTGTTTGGCTTTTCTTGGTCAAAGTTCACAAACTTTGACTAGATTTTGTAAATAGAAGTATACTCCATTGGTCTGAAAAAATGCATGAATTTTCATTTGTTGTCCTAGGTGGTGTAAAAAATTGAAGAGAGATAGAAAAAGGTGAATGGTGCAAAAATAAAGGCATAATAGTCTTTTAATGTAAAAATTTTGAATAATCTTTCCAATCAAGGAAAGATGAAGAAAAGGACGGAGGTATTATACAGTTATAATGTGAATTTGATATCATTGAGTCCATTTTGAAATGTACTTTTGAAATATCTTATTTCCAAAATATCCATTTATGTGCAAATATAATTATTAACACTCAAAATATTGCATTGGAGACCGTGAAAAATCAAATAGGAAAACCAAATAGGCAATCTAAAGGAAGTAGTGGAAATGAATGATAGATTTAAAAAAAAATTATATAAAAAAACCTGGCCAAGTGTTTTGCATTCTCTGCCTCCTCCCAAGCTGCGGCGCGTGCCATGATGACACCATCGGGCTGTTCAGTTGCAGCGCCATTTACTGTCACATTGGTCTCATTTTTATGGCCATCTTCCTCATTGCTAGCCCAAGCTGCAATGTTCATCTTCCCAAGTTGAGTTCCTAGGGCCATTATCTCTTTTCTGGTCTTCATCTGCAATTCCTTTTCAAACGCCTGGGGATCGTTTGAATGGGAGAGAAGAGAAGAGCATGGAGGAGTGGATGGATGAGAGGAAGATGGACTGCGAGTTGGTGTTGTTGCTCTCACTGGAGTCCCAGTCCTGGAAGGCTCTTGGCTTGCGATTGGTGTCATTTCGGTGCCCATATCTCTCATTGACACTGACCTTGCTGTTGAAGGCAGTGGGACAAATGCCGTTTCGCTATGGATGGAAACACACGAGTCATGCCTGCTCAAATTGACTGCAGAGCAAAAGCACCCATCATAGTGATATCAATTTACTATGAGAGTAGAACAACAGCGAACACAAAGTAGGGTCTTGAGAGGGTGAAATGGCAATAATATTGTGTTAATATTTTGATTCTGAGAGGATGTTTGGGAGTGATTAACTTGTGGATAAAGTGATTTCCACAAAAGCTGAAAGCAAAAGCACCTCATACCTACTTCTCCAAAACGGTGTTCTATGTACAAAATAGTGGTGATGGAAAGCAAAAGCTGACATGCCAAACAGAGTAAAATCACTTCCACTCAAAGTAAAAGCTAAATTATTAAAAGCAGTGCACTGCCAAACACTCTCTCAGATGGAGATTAAGCCATCCAAAGACTTCCCCTCCAAAACCCATCAAACCAAACAGACCCTAAGTGGTTGTGAGGGCCGAGGGCCATATATATGCATTGTTAAATGAGCAAGCCAAATGGGGAACCAAACAATCTTACTTGCTGATTCTCTGGTACAGTTTTCGATCATGAGTGTCTCCTTCCCATACGATTCAGCAACCGGGTGTGAATCGGACTCCCAGCTCACATACTTCTGCACTCCATTATCCTTGAACTGGTTCGAATCGATGCACTTCGTATCCACGGGCTCCTCAGAGATGACCATTCGTCTATCAGAAACATCAGAGGCCTGTTTGGTGGGCTTTCGTGGTCCCAACCCACATTGAGTCTTTAGTCGGTTAGATGTCGGGCTTGCAATCCACTTCTGAGCATCGTCCCATTTTGATGGCGCAGGTTTTGAGAAAGGTGCAACTGGTGGGACCCTTTGTGCTCTATCCGCTGCTTTCTGAAACTCAAAATTCATATCTTGAGACTTAAACATGGAAGTGGAGCGTGGTTGCTCCTTCGATCTGTTGTCTTTAACCATTGATGAACCAAATCCCCACTCTGTAGAACACTCATGTAGGACACTTACAACAGCAACATCTTTGCAAATCTCTGAACCACCTTCTGATGCATCAAATTAAAGTATATATGTTCAGCTAATACCGAGTTTGTGATCATAAAAATGACATTAACACTCAGTAACAGAAATGAAAAAAAATCAGCAAAATGGAAAGATGGACTTAGTGATTGCTCCTTAAGCTTGTTAAAGAGAGGAATTTGGGACAGTCAGGAAAGAATTATCACTATTTCTTTCAAAGTAGTGATCTCTTTCCTATTTGCTTTGGATTCTTTAATACTCCGTCTAAGTTTTGTTTGAAAACAACATTTGTAAATAGCATTAGTTTTTTGAATGTGGTTTAATGATGGACATTAATTTTAAAAACGCTAAAGCTAAAGGCCGTTGTTAGATAACATTTTCAGAATGCAAAGCTAATGCCAAATGAATTTATAAGACGGAAGAATCCTGCATAAAATGGTCTAAGGAACAAAACCCTTTTTTTGGGATCTATAAGGTATTCTCATCAACTTAAATAAATAACAGAAATCGAAAAATATTTCTTTCCCTTTTCACAATTCAAAATGTTATTACTCCCTATTACCCTTCTTCAAAAATGAAAAGTCATGAATACCAAAGATTTGACATTCCACATGAGAAAAAAAGGTCCTAAAGTGAATCCAAATAATGGATAAAGTCATTACAGATTCATAGACATTTATTCATTTAACTTAAACAGCATCTCAAATAGAAAATTGCAAAATAATACTAATAATAATAATACAGGAAAAAAAAAGCTCTACCCCATGTATAGTACAAGATGCTGCAGACCACATATAAGTTGGGGTGGAGGGAGTACAATAAAAGAATGCAAGAGAAGAGAAGACAGTACATACCAGAATCATGGATCTCAGATTCGGATCTTAAAGAGATACCAAGCTCTGGGTCTTCTTCTTCTTCTTCTTCCTCCTGGAGTTCTCCAGCCTGAGGTTTCTTCCTTTTCTGTGTCCTCAGAAGCATACTCCTAAGCTTCCTCGGAGACAACTGCACAAATATAAGCAAACATTGAAAACAACCCACAAAAGAAAAACAAAAGAATCTTGAAATTGACAGAAAAATAAAAGCTAAAGATTCAGTTTTTTTCTTCTTCTTTCTTTCTTTTTCTTTTCTTCTGGGCTGACCTGGAGGTGGCCAGTGCAAGTATTGGGCTTTTCAATTCTTTCGTAACATTCCATTTTCTTGTGGCAATGAAGAAATCTCTCTTCTTCTTCTTCTTCTCTGAAGCTCTTCTGTGTGGGGTTGGGGGATTGGAAGGAAAGAAGCGAAAATGGCAATGGGAAGTGGACAAAATAGGGGAGGGAGTCAAGTGCAGTGTGTGATAGGAGTGGGAAGAAGTGAGGACAGTAAGTAGTCTGTCCCACTTGACCACACAGTCTTCATGTGGAGTGTTAGGAATTTGACTCATTGGAATGGGATCTTATTTCTTAATTGTCACAATCCCCTTTTTTTAGATGATGCCCACATTGAATGATTTTTTGGTAGCCCATGTGCCCATTCACATCTAATCAATATCAAGGTTGATGCAAAAACTAATTACAAAAAAAAAAATCCTCTTCCACCTCCAAATTCTTGGCATGTTAAAATAAAAAGAAAACTCCCTGAATAGGAATAAAACATGTTTTATATTCTCAAAATAGGAGTTCAAACTTAAACTACTCTAAGTAGGAGTAATTAACTATTTTTATTGTACAATTATTTAGCCGCCGGGAGAAGAAATGAAACACCACCCATGCTATTACTTCTTCAATCCAAAGTATTTGTTTTCTTTCTTCTTTTTTGAGATTCTTTTTCTATTATTATTGGTGGGGGTGGATTTTTTTTTGTTTTTTTGGCATAGAGCTAACAATGGAGAGATTGTGTGATTGTTTATTTTAATTGTCTTCTTTCCATAATTAATTACTTCGTGGGCTCGATGCATGCAAATGTATCACCGAGTACAATTGAACTTTTGGCATTTTGCAGAGCCACGTTTGTACTGTGCATTGGCATCTTTGGTATTTTGTTTTCGATTGACCTAAAACTTTATACTTTTGCATCTTACAATGTCATGTTTGTCACTGTATGTTGTCATTTTTAGCATTGTATTTTCGATTGACACTATATGAATTATTTTTTCTCCATGTAGCACCATGGCACTACACCTGTGGGGGTTAGTGATGCCGACAACGTTTGACGATAACAGGAGCAAGGGGTGATGCATGAAAGTGGCAGATCTTGGCGGCGGCAGTGAGTCAACAACTCCTATTTTGGGGGTTTATGTTTTCACTCATATTTTGGATTTTAATCAATGTTTTACTCCTATTTTGCTCCTTAACCCAACTCCAAAAGGATTATTTATCTTCCTAAAGAAAAAAAGAATATCAATCTGCCCAAAAGAAAAACTTAAGTAATAATTAGAATTTCTAGTTGAGCCTCTCTTTTGTCACATTAAATCAGCTTTTTAAAGTTATTTTATTTCTAAAATGGGATGAAATATAAAATATAGGTCTTATATGCTTAAATATTGTTTTAAAAAAATTAAAGAAACAATGATATTATGTTATCAAATAAAAAAATAAATTCAGTCACAAAAGTGAATAAAATTCGATCATGTAAATAACAAAGAAATAAAAGTACTTTAATATGCGCGGTAAAAAACATTTTAATATACAAATAAAAATGTTACAAAATTTATGAATTTACCATTTGTGAATATACATTCCCACTATTTAACTACTTACAATCATTTTATTCTTGTACTCGGTAATAAAATTCACAAAAAGTAAATTAGAAAATACTCCCTCCGTCCCTCATAGATCTTCTCAATAGTCATTTTTCCTTGTCCACAATAGATCTTCTCATTTCATTTTTTAACAATTAAAATACCACAACTACCTCCACTTACTTTATTTATTACATCTCACCCACCTCATTTAATACACTCCATCCATTTTTCATTAAGAGTATTATGGTAAACTTTCACCTTTTTTCAATTCTACTTAAAAACCACCAAAAGTTAAAATGAGAACATCTTAGGGAGACGGAGGGAGTACTGTATTTTTTAATTTGTGACTAATATTTTTGAGAAGCAAAATCTAGGATGCCACGCACCACCCGACCTGGCCTCGCCACATCCTCCCTCACCCCACGTGTAGCGTAATCCTCGCTCCTCTCGCATCTTGTCGCAACCACGTCAATATAAACAAATAAAACAACACATTTAACGGAATTTTGGTAATAGGATTGGGGAGCTATGAGTAATGACCTACAGCTACCATATAGAGTACACTTAATATTTCAAATCAAGGGTAGCCATTATACTTTGTTCTACAAATAATCCCCATTTTAAGTTTTAGAAAATTTAAAGAAGTGATATTTTTGCGTTTAAATTTTTAAAAATATCTTTGATATAATGAATAAAAGTAATATTTGATTGATTAATTATTTGTAAAAAGATATGATGTGATAGTAAAATAGATTAATAATTAGTAGGGATAAAAGTTGTCTTTTAATAGAAAATTGAAGGATATTACGAGAAAAAAAGAAAGGGAAGAGAATTTTTAGAACAGAGAGTACTTAGTAAAAAGTGCAATAAGTACTCTTTCCATTTCAAAACATTTGTCATATTATACAAAATAAAGTAAAATTTTAATTTTTTTGATTTTTTTATTTAAGGGTTGTTATAGAAATAAAAAAGAATAATTAAAACTATGTCACGAGTTCTTCAAAATAAAGATGACAGAAATATTTTACTTTATCAAATTATCGCTAAACATATGTAAATAAATAAAAGTTATTGTGATTTTGGAATAGTGAATCGTGATATTTTCATTTGGAGACGAAGGAAGTATATGATGTTCTTTTCGTGCTATAAAAGTTTGTCGGGTCTTTATTCATTGTAAAATAATTTAATCTTCTCTTCCTTTTTAAGGCATAATAAAAACTTAAATTACTTGTATTTGAAAAAAACCAATTCTAACTATTCATTTTTCAATAATTGTCTAAATTATGTGAATATATTCGGAATATAAATTTAATAACACAAATAATACACACACATATATTGCTCATACACCCCTAAAAAAGTAATAAATCACTTTAAAGTCCAAATCCGTCTCGAGAGTCTAGATTGCAATCCAAGGTACGTGAGTTCTTGTCAAGGAACCAACTCAACCAAAAGCTCAAGCTTGTGGTTGTGGCCCAGGAATGATTGTTATATACTCTAACACGCCCCCTCACGTGCAGGCGTGACCTCTTTGAGCCTTGCACGTGAAACCTTAATTTTTTTTAACTGGGTGGCGGTGAGTTTCGAACTCGTGACCTCTTGGTCATCAAGGCGTGACTTCCCAAGCGCCTTTGTGTGAATGTCCGCAAGCTGGTGCATAGTAGGAACATGAAGTGTCTGAATTTCTCCTCGCAAGAGCTCATCACGAACGAAATGACAGTCTATCTCAATATGCTTCGTGCGTTCATGAAAAACTGGATTAACAGCGATATGAAGTGCAGCGGTACTATCACAACGAACCATCATAGGCGACGCATGCACAACACCCAAACTTCGTAATAAATTTTTCAACCACTTCAACTCGCAAGTAAGGACAGCGAGAGCCCTGTATTCTGCCTCGGCAAACGAACGAGCCACTGTAGTCTGCTTCTTTGTCTTCCACGAGACTGGCGATTGACCAAGTTGCACAAACCAGCCTGTCAGCGACCGCCGTGTCAAAGGACATGCTGCCTAATCTGATTCACACCACCCTGTAAGCTGAAGGCTACTGTCCGCAGAAAGAAAAATGCCCTGTCCCGGACATCCTTTCAAATAACGAACCACCCCAAGTGCTGCAGTCCACTGATCCTCCCTTGGCTCCTTCAAAAACTGTGCTAAAGTATGCACTGCGTAAGAAAGCTCCGGTCGTGTAACAGAGAGATAGACCAGCCTCCCTACCAAACGTCGATATGGTTCTGGATCTGCAAGTACTGGAGCTTGAGAATGAGCCAAGTGATGATTTGGCTCCATCGGGGCTCCCAACGGTCTGGCACCTAACAACCCTGCCTCAGTAATGATATCTAGGGCATATTTTCGCTGGCATAAGAAAATCCCAGATGTGCTTCGTGCTACCTCAATGCCAAGAAAGAATTTCAAAGTTCCCAAGTCTTTCATATGAAAGCACTCTGCCAAATAAGCCTTGAACTTGCAAATCATCTCAGTACAATCTCCTGCAATAATCAAGTCATCTACATAAACCAGAACATGAATTACTCCTTTCTTCCCAACAAAAGAAAACAAGGAGTAATCAGATACAGACTGCACAAAGCCATATCTTCGCAAGGCTCCTGATAATTTCGCAAACCAACACCTTGGAGCCTGTTTCAAACCATACAAAGACTTCTTGAGTTTGCACACCATATCGGACGAACTCGAAAAACCGGGCGGCAACCTCATGTACACCTCATCCTGAAGATCTCCGTGTAGGAATGCATTGTGAACATCCATCTGATGCAGTTCCCACCCTTTTACTGCTGCGACTGCCAAAAGTGTTCTCACAGTAGTCAACTTAACTACAGGAGCAAATGTTTCTTTGTAGTCAATGCCCTCAACCTGGTGGTTGCCAAGTATGACGAGCCGAGCCTTGTATCTTTCCACACTTCCATCAGACTTGCGCTTGATTTTATACACCCACTTGCATCCAAGGGCCTTCTTATGACGTGGGGGAGGAACAAGAGACCACGTGCCATTGGCCTCTAATGCATCAATTTCTTCCCGCATGGCTTTCCTCCAACGCTCATCCTGGAATGCCTGCTTGAAGTTTCTAGGCTCTATGTCTTTGTCAAGTGCCATGAGAAAACACTTATGTTTGGCAGAAAACTTCTCATAAGCAACATACGAGGAGACTGGATATCTGCATTTTCCATCAACAAGTGGACCAGCGACGTGTGTAACATAGTCCGCAAGTCTCACATTTGGGCGCCGTTCCCTTTGACCACGCCCCAAGTGCTCGGGTTCTTGCTGGAATGTGGACGGTCGACCGCCATCCGTGGAACGGTCCACGGGGTCGACCGTCTGTGACGGGTCCTGAGTCCCTCCGTTCTGCCTTGAAGACGGTCGACCGTTCTCTGCGTCGTGGTCGACCGTTCCATCATTCCCCTGGAGTCCGTCTTTCTGCCCTTCGGACGGTCGACCGTGCGTATGGGACCGGTCCATCGCATCGACCGTTGGCTGATCTCCCTGGGATCCATCTTTCTGCCCAGAGGACGGTCGACCGTGGACACCAAAACGGTCCATCCGTTCGACCGCCTGTAGCTCATCTGCATTATCTCCTTCTTCCGGTCGACGGTTCCCCAAAGGACGGTTCATCTGTTCTTCCTCCGGATCTTCATCATCAAAGTGATCAACAGAAATGGAGCTGCTCGAACCTTCTGCATCTAACTGTTCACCTGTAGAAACCAAGTACGGAAATATGTCTTCACAAAACACAACATCTCGTGACACGCTTATTTTCCTAGTGTCTGGAAAATACACGCGCCATCCCTTCTTTCCTTGTGGGTAGCCCAAAAATATTCCAGGAATACTTCTGGGTGCAAATTTATCTCCATCTCTCTTTAGATTGTGAACGTAACATCTGCAACCAAAAATTCGAATATGAGTCAGTGCAGGAGCCCTTCCATAAAGTTTTTCATACGGCGTAACCCCCCTAAAAGAGACGAGGGTGTCCGGTTAATCAAGTAAGCCGCCGTCTGTATACAGTCTCCCCAGAACTCGATTGGAAGCCCTGCTTGAAATCTCAAAGCGCGACCCACATTCAGAATATGCCGATGTTTACGTTCAACTCTACCATTCTGTTGCGGCGTAGACACACAAGATGTCTCACGAACAATTCCTTTTTCCAGAAAATATTCTGTCAAGCATTCAAATTCTGTACCATTGTCACTCCGAACACATTTTATCCTCTTTCCAAACTGACATTCAACCATGGCACAAAATTGTCTAAAAACACCGCCAACATTACGCTTAGAGTCAAGCAAATATACCCACACACCACGTGAAAAATCATCCACAATAGTCAAAAACATAGTAGACCCATCCAGACTCAGTGTCCGATAAGGACCTCACAAATCACAATGCACCATATCAAATTTATCCAAAGACTGATGAAAACTGATAGAAAAACTAGCACGAGTTTATTTAGCACGTAAACAGACATCACAATAACTATGACTTTGTTTATTCGAACCAACTACAGGAATTAAGGACAAAACATGTGAAGAAGGATGTCCTAGACGTTTGTGCCAAAGATCAAATGAACTCTTCGTAGCAGCACTGCACGCCATGTTCCTCTCCTCCTTCTTCAAATAGTATAATCCTCCTTCAAGTTTACCCACACCAATCGTTGTCCTCAAACTTAGGTCCTGTAAGATGCACAATTTATCGGTGAACTTTGCCTCACAGTTTATATCTCTTGTCAACTGTGACACAGAAATCAAATGGCAATTCAAGGTTGGAACAAATAACACATTCTGCAAAGTCATTGTCCTAGTCAAATCAACCTTTCCAGATTGAACCGACACAACTCTTTTTCCATCAGGTAATCCAATTTCACATGGAGACACACCCACCACATCATACAATAACGAAATATCACCTGTCATATGATTGGATGCGCCAGTATCGATTATCCAACGAGGTGACACAGAAATACCTGAGAGTTTAGGTGAGTTGTCTGTAGGAGATAGTGATAGGGCATGACGAAAAGCGTTCCACTTTTCAGGCGTCAGATCCTCAAAGTTCGGAAGCGGAGATGGCGCCTTTTCTTCTCCTTGGACAGCATGGGCTTCGCCTCGTCCACCCGTGACGGTCGACCGTCCAGCAGCCACGGTCGACCGTCCTCCGCCTCGTGCAGTTCCGCGGCCGCCTCTTCCTCGTCTGTTTCCTCTTCCTCTCCTGGACTGATCGCGGAATACCCACCCTTCGGGGTACCCAATCAGCCTGTAACACGCCTCAACATCATGTCCTGTTTTCCCACAATGTGAGCACACCAGCTCTTTGACCTCGATCTTGTTCTTTACGGCAAACACGGATGCTCCTGCTTCACTGCTTTCTCCTTTGTGCACGCCATGCCGTGCCGTTTCATTTTGGACAAGAATGTTATATATTCTTGATACTGGTGGTATGATTTCCTGGGCCAGCAAATTTGACCGCAAAGTCCCATACAAAGCATCATTCAGACCCATCAAAAATTGATGGGAGCGTTCCCTTTCACGCATCTGCGCGAGTTTCTCCTGCATGTCACGCGTGCAATTTCTACACGTGCAAGCCGGGAACTGCTCTAAATATGCTAGATCGTCCCATAACTTCTTCATCTTTCCATAATATTCCATTATGGAAAGATTCTTCTGTTTGCATTTCGCCAAATCTCGCTTCAACTGCTGGACCCTTGGTCCGTTCACCACAGAAAAACGAGCCTTCAATTCATTCCACAGATCTGAAGCTTTCTCCATGATCGATATGCTCGATCTCAGGGTTGGATCAATCGTGTTCCGAATCCAAGAGACCAAAAGCGAATGGTTCGTCCACCAATCATCAAAATCTTCATCTTCAGGATCAGGCATCCTGATTGTCCCATCAACAAATCCAAACTTCTTGCGTGCTCGAAGAGCCAAACGAAGAGATTTGGACCACTCGTCATAATTATCTCCCTTGAGAACAACATGGGTCAAAATCATACCCGGATTGTCGCTCGGAGATAGATCATAAGGAGAGATACGACGACGTCGCACCCCGACCTCCTCCTCCTCTCGATCTTCATTCTTCTTGTTGGAAACAATCTTCATAGGCGCTTCTCCAGACATACCAGATGAGAAAATTCAAGAATTGGATCAAAAACAGCAGCAGTTGAGAATTCTTCCGTCGGGACGGTCGATGTCTTCGACCGTTCGGAACAGACGGTCGACCGTTCCGGTCTTCTCGGCTGCAATAACGAGCGACGATCGATGGACGCGATGCCGGGCGATCGTGCGGAAATTCCTAGAGTTTTGGCTCTGATACCATGTCAAGGAACCAACTCAACCAAAAGCTCAAGCTTGTGTTTGTGGCCCAGGAATGATTGTTATATACTCTAACAGTTCTTTTCATTTGATAACATGCTTGAGATAAAAAAGTTACGATCTATGTTTTAATTTTTAATATGTAAAATATGAGTTTATATTTTTTTAATAACTAATTATTATTTTAAATGATTATAAAATATTTTAAAATCTAAATAAACCGAATAGTTTTAACCTAACGAATATATTCAAACGAATCGAATATAATTAATATATTAAAAGAATCACATATAAAGCTTAAAAATATTCGAAGTAAATTTGAATATTACTCCGTATCTTACGAATACGATTATTATTCATAAATGTTCGATTTGATTCGAATAGTGTGGTTAATGGAATGTGCAATTGTCAAAAGTCCTATTAGTTGAACCGTCCGGACAAATATATCCCTACAACCCAACTTATCCGTGGAATCCACGCTATTGCCGTGATCCGAGACGCAGAGGATTGTCCTCTCCTTTATAGCTATCGGTGATCCGTAGAAAGACCTTATCGACGGCCGTTGAGAAGGATAAACAAAAAGTGGAAACAAATACGGTTTAAAAAAAAGGGTAAGAGGAAAGCATCTGATCGTCATCGGAGTTGCAGACGGCGATGGGGCGGGCAGAGATGGCGGCGAGCCCGTTGGCGGTGGCGGCGTTCGAACTCAAACATGCGATAAGCTGGTGGGACAACGTCAACGAGTCTCCTCTCTGGCAAGACCGTATTTTCCACATTCTCGCTGTTCTCTATGGAATCGTCGCCGCCGTTGCTCTCGTATGTGATTTTTTTCTTTTTTCGTTTTGTTTTCTTAGCAATATTCGGATGCATCGGTAATGTTGTGTTGTTAATTAGGATGGATTCATTGTTATATTGTGATGTCTGAGTTGGCCTGATTAGGGTTCTGTGTCTGTATTGACGTATATGGCATGCGGTTAATCCAATCTATCCGAAACGAGAATAAAATTTAATGAATTACTCGAATTGGAGAGCGATTCTGGAGAAGTAGAAAATTAAGATCAAATTGCTGCTTAATGGATGTATGTTGCGAAGAGGAGATTGACGATGTTGTCTTATATCCGTTTTTAATTATTGTTAATGATATTTGTAATGATCTGTTATCAGTTTATACCTTTAGGGAAATTTTTTGTTTCTTTATGTAGGATTACATTCTTAGAAATTATCATTGAATTGGTAAATTAAGTGCTTTTTCTTCTCAATTTTTGTTGGCTTAGGGACCATTTTGTTGGTCTTATAGCAAGATGTGCACAGAATTTATATATTAGTACAATGTGCCCTACTTTTTTTTAACCTAATAAGCAATTTTGGTTCTTAATTTTTCTTAAGTGAATATTTTGATCCTTTAAAGTGGTTATTTTAGTTCTTAAATTGACTATTCTGGTCTTTCAAGCAGTAATGTATGCGTGTAAAGTTACTTAATGCTTCCATCCTAGGGACCGAAAGTATTTTTGTTTACTAACTGTTGGCTTTTGTTGCTTGCGTTCCACCATTACTATACGTTTCTTTGTTGAATAATGATATATGTTTTGTGTCTTTATGGATCTGAATGTTGTTTAATTTGACACTTTAGGTACAATTAGTTCGTATTCAAATGAGAGTGCCGGAGTATGGTTGGACCACCCAGAAAGTCTTCCATTTTCTCAATTTCCTGGTGAATGGAGGTCTGTATTTTTTATCATTCTATTGTTAATTTAATTTTACATCCACCACTATTGAATAAGTAACCTACACTTGTATCACCTGATGTTTTTCATTGTTTTCCATACTTCAGTCGCTTTAAACCTTTGGTTTTTCCTTTTTTAAACATATGTAATTTGGCACTTTTGTTTGAATAAAGTATAAATTTACTTTGGCAGTTCGGTCATTGGTATTTGCTTTCCGTCGGAACATCCAAAAGTTGCACCCTGAGGTTAGAAATACTTGATTTGTAAAATATATTGTTGTTAAATGAATTTCCCTACTTCTAGTGACTTTGATTTTCCTTCTTTGATAGATAATGCAACATGTTTTGCTTGATATGCCTAGTCTCGCATTCTTCACAACCTATGCATTGCTGGTGTTGTTCTGGGCTGAAATATACTATCAGGTTAGTCTGATTTTTGTTATTTTATTTCTGCTTATTGTTTTCGTGGCATTGAAGCTAAAAGAGCCATTTTAGCTTCGGCTAAATAGTTGTCTAAATAAAAATGCTACATTAAACTTCCCTTGCTTCTTACTTCGAATGAAGTTTTGGGTAGTAAATGCATCAACGCATCACAGGTGCAATGGAAAAAAGTGGATAAGGTATTATGCTCAGTTCTTTTTTTGCAGGCACGGGCAGTATCTACCGATGGACTCAGGCCTACTTTTTTTTCAATTAATGGCGTCATTTATGCAATTCAGGTGATAATTTACTGCAGCTTCTTAAAATTAGTTTTCAATTGTAGACACAAATACCAGTCTTCTTGTTCCAATTTCCAAACCCAAACGTAGACAATTTGAAAGAAAAAAACACACAGATTAAAACGTTCAGTTCACGCTATATATTATAAACCAGAAATGCTTCCTAAGCTTTCCCATTGTTAAGTACTCACCATTTCTGGCATAACCAAAATTTTAATAACAGTATCTGGGAATTATTAATACCCTTATCATAATTGAAGTTAGCTTGTATTACACTATCTATATGCATCAATGTATGAATCAGTCCTATAAGAAATATGCTCTATTTGGTATTGATGATGCTTTCATACCCTGGCGCACACTTTTAAAAAGAAATGGAAGTTGTGGATTTTCAATTCACTATGCAAAGGACAAACTAATTAGTGTGTGCTACAGACTGCTACTTTGCTAAAGAAGAAAAAATATGGCATTAAGTTGTAGGTAATAACATAAATTGCTCAAACTCTAGGTGTGACAAGATAATTAGACAGTGAATTTCAGATTATTTCTTTTTTGTGATGTCGGACTGTTTTACACTATTATAAAACAATGCCCACACTAATTCAATTAGGTCGACTACATAAATCAACAGAAAATCTATCGATGTCATACAACAAAATTCCTTTTTCCCATTATCTTTTTTGTCATAGTCCATATTTTCATCAAGTCCCAATGCTCCTCTTTATACCTTCAACCCAGGTCATCTTTGGTCTACTTCAACTTCTCTTTAACTCTCTCACATTTTTATCCAAATCAGGTCATCTATTTTGTGAAGACTCATATGCTCAACCCAACACAATCAATTCTTCCTTTATCTTTAATATCGTCTACCCTCACATTTCCACAAATTTTAATGTGGCACACCAAGTTTCCAGTCTTAGCACATGCATCTCTGTCACATTCATCTACTCTATCAAATCTTTCTTAATTGTCCAACATTCAGATCTGTATAAAATGCTAAAGTCTTAAAGCAGTCTTTATAATATATGCAAATTTTAGAGCAGTCCTATAAAATTTTCCTCACAATCTTAGTGGTACATCTTGACTACATAGGGCTTCTGTTGCTCCTTTTCATGTGAGCGTACCTGCAATAGTTCTATAGTTCATGTCTTTGCCAATATCTTCATTTCTTTCAAAATAGATCCCAAGCACATGAAAAAAATCTCTTATTGTTAGTTCTTTACCATTCAGTTTCTTCTCCGGTACTGCTTTTTAACTCAATTCGTGTATTGCACTCAAGGTACTCCATCTTGCTTTGACTTATCTTTACTCCTCACTGTTCCAACTTGTATCCGACCATCTGCATAATTCTTACCTAGCACTAACCTTTTCTTGCTTATGTCCAATAACATAATGTCATCCGTATATAGGGTACACGGTTGCAAACATAGTATTTAGTGGCGAGGGGCGGGCGGTAGGACCTTTTTTATGGCGAGAGGCGGGCGGTCAAATTGTGAACATGCGTGTGTGTGTGTGTGTGTGCAATGTAATGTAATGTAATGTAAATGTATGCATGCATGCATGCTCTCTTCCTCCTCCTCATCCTCGTCGTCCACCGCGCACTCCATTTGCTTCACAGGCAAATTCCAGCACGACCTTTTCGACGCAATAACGAGCGTGCCAAATTCGTGTGAAAAAAGGGTTTTTCCTCTCCCTCGCCATTGATACCCCTACCATGCACATCCGTGACCGATCACGAGGATGACTGAACCATGAAGGACTCAGGGCCCGCTCCATCGCCCCCCATACGGAAGAAGTCATGACCGTCCAAAGTGATGGCTCGGGAAGGAGATGTGGGGAAGAGATGGCCGAGGGAAGAGGTGTTGGCATTGATAAACTTGAGAAGTAGGGTAAATAATAATAATGGCGGTAGCAGCAATGACAACAACAACAACAACAATAATGACCTTAAAGATGGGGCAAAGGGCCCACTTTGGGAGAGGGTATCCCAAGGGATGCAAGAGTTGGGATGCATGGATGCATGTATGTATGCATGGATGCATGGTGCATGCCATGCCAAAAATAACAATAGTGTGAACCATGTTCTCTTGTACACCGCAATCTGGACCCATGTTCCCATGTAACTATGATCTAAGCAGTTAATATGTCCATAATGAATAGCATCATTAAAAGAAAAGCAATCTCAACATCTTCTAAATATTGGATGAAAACAGCATGCATGTGAATTTATACGCTCACTTTTTTATTTATTTACTACTACTCGCATGACCTGTATTGTGTTGGTCGTTTAACTCTATTGAATGACTTGCAGATACTCTTGTGGTTGATTTTATGGTGGAATCCTATCCCACTTTTGGTGATCTTGTCTAAATTGTTCTTTGCAGGTTTACATGATATGCTTTCTCATACTTTTGATACTTTAAGAACTTAAAGTATTAAGCTCTACTATGATGTACTGACATTTTTTATTTGAAGGTGTGTCCTTATTTGCGGCCCTGGGATTTTTACTTTATGGTGGAAGGTAGATAGTCCTTTTCATCATTAGCCATTGATTTGAATTCGTAAGCGTATCTTGTTTAAAAAACTGTGTACTGCTTGTTACAATATGCATGGAATTTGCTGATAATTGTGCGACCTGAGTAATTTGTTTTGTTGGTGTTCTTATTAAGGAACATGAATTTACTTTTTTAAATATTAATCTTGGGTATTCTTATATGGCTATATGAAACACAATGTTTCTTCAGAATGGCTGTTGATCTTGACATCACACTTCCCCAAAATTTCCAATTCTGGTACAAGAGAAATCTCTAAATAATATGTAAAGCAACTTGCATAAATTCTTCCCAACCCAAGTCCATCAGGATTTGGCATTGAATTTTTTGGAGTGTCCTTCGGCGCTTCTTTCTGTTATATGTGAAATATTTTCCTTGAGTTATTGAAAAAAATATTATCTTCTAAAGGTTTCACCATTTCCCATTCTGTTGTCCGGTTGGATCATACTGGGTAGGGGTGTTTGTCTGTTCAGCTTACGTTGGTTTCAGTTTGGTCATTTTCTTTGGTCTTTGTAAGTTCGTTTGCAGTCAGGTTTAGTCAGTTTCAGTTGGTTTTGGTTGCTTTTCGTAGTTTAAATCTGAAACCACAATTGAATCAGCCATGGTTAGATTTTGTTTAGATTGGTTTTGGTTGGTTTTGTTTTGGTCGGTGTAGCGTGTAGGTCTAGCACTTTTGTTCAGCCCTAATATTTGACATGAAGTTGTGATCATATGGCTTTGTTGTTGTTAGATTTGAGAGTGTGTGAAGACAAAGTTTGGGCAAAAATCAATTTAGTATCTTTACAGATCTGAATCAGTTGCTTTTATTTATCCAAAACTGTGCATATACATTGATAGGAAGAGTCTGTGATCCTCAGATGTTTCAGTTCAGATATTCTACATTTAGTTCCATCACTCATCATTGTCCATATACATGCATTCTCGCATGTTTACTTCCTATGCAACTCATCTTCACCTTTCCATATCGTCCTCCAGGCTCTTCCTGATGTTGCAGAGGTTTCCCGTTGAATCAAAAGGAAGACAGAAGAAGCTACAGGAGGTATTATTTCACTTCTGTTTTTTTACTACACTTGTTAGGATTTCATAGCAAGTTCCTTGTGCAGCTATTAATCTAATATATGGAAGAAAGAGAAGCATTTTGTTTGAAAATTTAAGCTTTCGGTCATAGGCCAGTTTAAACAGCTTACACTTAAATGCATTGACCAGAAAGTGGCACGATTGTGTTATAACTTGTAACTGCCCTGGTATATTTTCATTGATGCAGGTCGGCTATGTGACTACGATTTGCTTTGCTTGCTTCCTCATTAGATGCATAATGGTGAGTCTTTTACATTGAACTTTGCTAAATCAAAAGCCCCATTTTTTATATGAACCACTCAATCACCTACATGTTATATAAGATGCATAATGAAGTCATGCTTTTGTAATGTACGTAATATCCTGTTCAAGCCAGAGTTTATATAAGAAGACTACACAACACGAAGATTTAAATGCATCACAGGTCTATAGGAAATGACCCCTATGTTTTTTATAGGTGTAAGGTTGCGTACACCTTGAACCACTGACCCCATTGGAGTTGGGATTATGTTAGGTTTGTTGTTGTAGCCTCACTATAGTGAACACCCCAAAAGATTCACACTTCCATATTTGTTACAACTATTACACCAAGTAAACTGAAGAACGTGCAAAATTCTCTCTTTTAAACTAATTATAATACAATTTGGTATAAAAATAAAAAGTACAACTTACATTTGTTAAAAGTTCTACAAAACAAGTGGTGACATGCCTCTTTTATTTTAGCAAATGATCAATGAAAATGCATACGCAAGCAAAAGTTATCACAAGACTCAAATAGTAAAGAGAACAATAATTTAGGGATAGAGGGAGTATAATACACCAACCATTTTCAATCACTTTTTATACCCCACCCCCACTTTTATATCCAACCCTATTGATTCCCCACTCACATTACACACATTTTCTCTTATTCCAACCACATCACATCATCAAGGTCACATCAAGGGCAAAATTGGAAAGTCAAACCCACTTTAAGATTTGCCTTAATCTATGTGAAATCGAAGTGTGAATTTAGTTACGGGACGAAGAAAGTAATTTGGACAAGAAAGTCAGATCTGACCGGATATAAAAAAATTAAGGTAAGATTTTTTCAGAGAACAAGTCCTAAATCCAAAGTTAAAATTTTAGAAATTAAAGGTAAATTTCAATTCAAGCACTAGTTAAAAATTTGAATTTCAATTCCAATTTCAAGTTTTGTCAAAATTACTGGTAATCTCATCGCCCCTTATCAGTGTCACCAGTCACTGGGAAAATACGCCTTGAGAATGTGAATCACCCTAGCTTGACCTTTCTAAAAACAGTTATGATCGGATTACCTGAGTGTTTGACTTGCGGTCTGAAAGGAGTGTTGTTATTAGATGATATAGTTTTGCTTGGGATTGGATACCATCACATCCCATCCAACATTTGAGATGGAGTAACCAGATGGTATTGCTTAGGACAAGAAAAAATCAGGCTTGTTTTTAATATACCAGGACGGGAGTTGATACTGGACCAGAACTGCTATATAACTGATAAACCGTTCCAGTCTCTGGTCCTAGAGCAGTCCTATGATCAGCTGTCTGGGTCTTGTGGGCCGTCCTGGATCAAAATTGTGTCCAACCCCCATTTTACTCAGTAAACACAACATTGAGTACCTGCTAGCTAATGTAGTGAAATTGAAGTTCATCTGTTTAAGATGAAACATGAGTGAGGCAGTACTTGAAATGTTGTTACCACTCCTGATTATACTTTTCATTAATTTAGCTCCTTTTTTATTTGCCACAGACTTGCTTTGATGCATTTGACGAAGCAGCTGATCTTGAGGTTTTAGATCACCCTATATTGAATTTAGCATATTACCTGGTAAGTCTACTGATATTTTTATAATTCATATTAAATAATTAAAAGCAGAAATGTGTTAGTGTTTTTTATCTCCCTATTTCAATTTAGCGTATTAGCTTGTAAGGCTACTTGTATATGGATTTTCTATTAAAAGAGTATGGGAAAGTCAAGGAGTCGGTCGGGTTGTATCTCAGTCCGGTTGGATGTGATTCATTTTAGCAGGTCATTTAGGTTCATGTCACAATCTTTGTTCAAAACTTAGCATTTTCGGGCTGGGTCTTGCTTTAAAAACGAACTTATCACACTAGCTTGCCTCCAACTTTCTCATAGATATGCACACACATACACAAGACGAAATTTCCTTCTTGTGAGAAGGAAAGATATAGGTGGGGCAAGCTTAGCGTTGCTTGTGTTCAAAATCCACTCTGTTTTGCAAGTGAAAGGAATATATAATGAAGATGTCATTTTCTGAACTATTTGCAGTTAGTGGAGATACTGCCCTCTTCCCTTGTCCTTTTCATACTGAGGAAGTTGCCTCCAAAGCGCGGAATCACACAGTACCACCCGATTCGCTGACTCACCCGCGGTTTGTTGGAGTAGAAGAAGAAGAGGGTGAGTGATCAATGACCGAAAACGGATAGTGATCGGATGATGATGATGATGATGATGATGGGGACTTGGCCTTTTATTATGCCTGTCTTACTTGGAATGGATGAATGTGGATGGGACTTGGAGGAGAAAATATATATGTTAGCAAACAGTATGTTCTCAAGTTGGGTAACTGTACATCCATTTCAAGCTGTGTTCTTTTTCTTCTTCTTCTTTGTTTTACCTGTTTAATACTCCTCATGGGGGAAGAAAGATAAAAAACAAAAGGAGGAAAAGATATTTGCTCTCGTTGCTTTTTAGCTCTGTCTGCACTACCACGTCTGTATAGTGGCATTTATATTCTTTTTAATCATCAAAGTTTTTAGGGCTGTGCCATCTATGCATGCATGGTTGCTTTCTTGCTAGGGCCTAGGGGAGGATTGTTCTTCTTTACATCTAGTTAAGTACTCCCTCTCTATCCCCTTTTTTATGTTCACATTTTATTCGTTTCGGGTTGTCTTCAAAAAACATCCTCTTTTTCCTGGAAGGTGTTGCGTTTCATATTTTTTTTCTCTCGTTTGCATCTGTTTCAATCATACAATCTTTGACGTTGTGGGAGACGTCGTGTTTGGTTAGGGCCAATCAAGTGAAAGAAGAAAAGGGGGGGGGGGGGG